GACAAAGAGCAAGATCCTTGTGAGATCAGGCTGTTTTTTCCCCTGTGTTAATCAATGTACACATTCATATACAGATTTAAAGTCAGTTAGCAAATAACACTGAGTATGTGCATAAGTTCATTAATTCCTTCTTTTTTTCTTTTCGGCTTAGTCCCTTTATTGATCTGGGGTCGCCACAGTGGAATAAAACATCAACTTATCCAGCACATGTTTTATGCAGCGGATGCATTTCCAGCTGCAACTCATCACTGGGAAACACCCATACACTCTCATTTACACACATAAACTACGGACAATTTAGCTTACCCAATTCACCTATACCACATGTCTTTGGACTTGTGGGGGAAACCGGAGGTTCCCGAGGAAACCCACGTGAACATGGGGAGGACACGCAGACTCCACACGGAAATGCCAACTGACACAGCAGAGGCTCAAAAAGCGACCTTCTTGCTGTGAGGCGACAGCGCTACCCACTGCGCCACCGCAGCGCCCTGCATAACATGTTGAAAATGCTGAATAGTTCTTGTCTTGTTGTAGGGCTGCACAATTCTGGCTAAAATGAGAATAACATTTTTTTTTTAAATCAATATCACGATTTTCTTACCATTATGTAGATGTAAAATAAAGGTTAATATAAGTAGGTTATTATTATTGTTACTTCTCAAACATATGGTTAAACAAGAACAATATTAAGCCTCTGTGTAGGTCTACTGTTGGTTAAAATACTCAATTTTGTTTAGATATGGGATGGTGGACTTGAACAGACTTTAAATTTGTCCTGGTCGTAAATGCACAGTAAAGTGATGACATCAGGATACAACTGTTCATAATTATGAAGTTGAATTATTATGTTTGAGACATGCTTGTCATTTGTCGACAACATTATTATACCATTTTTTTTTCTGATAAAATAAAACATTTGTCATGATCAGATTCAGCTCTTGCATTATTTTCAACATTATATAGGGTAGAGTAGTTGTACTGGCACTGTTAAACATTTATTTAAAATTTTGTGTTCATTATGAAATAATATATAAAAAAATATCAAATACTTGCCATAATCATAACTCTAAAGTGCGAAATGATAATTTAAATGATGTGTGCACTTTAGGTTTCACTTTCACTGTCAAGTGTGGCAGATGTCATGGCTGCCGTCCCTTTGAGAATATAAAAAAAACATAAATGTAAATCATACTTCCCGCGCGGCTCCCAAACAATCTGAACGTAATTTACAACTTAATGACCTGTTGAAAACAGCCTGTTCTGTTCACTAAAGTATACACCATTGGCGGATACGCGCGAGTCCTCTAGGTAGTAAACAAACAGTGCGTCAACTTATGTTTAATTTCGCAGCCAATAATACGTCCTTACAGTAAGACAGAAATTATATTTCGGAGTGAATTATACCTTAAACAGTATGTGACACTTTTAACACAATTTGGAGGCGTCCATTATTCTCAGCAACGCATATTAAACGTAAAGACTTGTGGAAACACCTTTATATTTCTCTTACAACCTTAAAAAACATAATTGGCTGAATCGTAGAAAAGCTAAATTAAGATCGTGTGCAAGGTCGAATTGAGATCGTTATTTTTTTTTTTTTAATTTTTTAAGTTATTATGAATTACATACACCACATTGTAAAAAATGCTGGGTTCCAAAGGAATTAAGTTAATTTTTACAAATTTAAGTGGATTGAACATAAAACAATTAAGTTGTTGTAAAAAAAAACTCAAGAATTGTGTTATCTCGACTCATTATAAATAAGTGGTTCGAACACACAGCAAATGCCTTTTTCTACATTGAATGACAAAGTTTTGTACAATATTTTTGATTCAAAATGACAAATTGTGACAGAAATGTGGCAAAAATGTTTAGAAGTTTGCACTACAGGATGTAATTGTTGGTCCTAGCTCAATATTGAATATTTATTTAAAAATATGTTTGCTGAACAAATAATGTTTGCTGTTTGTTCAAACTACTTATTTAAAATGAACTAAAACAACACTTGAGGGTTTTTTTTGTGCTACAACTTATTGGTTCATGTTCAATCCACTTAAATTTGTAAAAATTAATAAGATAACCTTATTCCTTCATGTTGTACCCACACAAACATATTGTGTGGTCAATTTTACCCTAGCATTTGTTAACAGTATAAATTCTGTCTATTTTTCTATTTAATTATAAACTTGTTATAATTAGAGGAGATAAAAAAAATAAAAAACATAACAGAATGCCACTCTATTTAGGGGCTTTTTTTAAATGCAAACAATAATTTAGAATTATTTACTACTCCCTTTACTTGATTCTAATTGAAGAAAAGGGGTTTTGCACTTTATAAGTTGTGAGTTCAGTATCTCATTGTATTAGCAGACGTCCAAAATGTGTTGTGTAACAGGAACGAACAATTACCAATTCATGCTAAATGTAAATGACTTAACCAAAGAGCCTTTTGCAACATTGGACAGCCGGGGAAACTGATAAAACATTGGCCCACTTCCTGAAGAACTTGCTTCATGAGTCTAAGAGTTCACAAAGACTTTATCTTATGTTTCTGATCTTAAGCTTGACTGAAACCTTGCCAGTGTTTTTAGTCTCTACAGCAAATAGCTCTCAAGAAAACAAATATGGATTACAGCCAAGGAATGTACCTGGTCAGCAATTTGTCAGTAAATAAACAGTAGTTAATGGCTAACCAGGCACTGCTTTTCATGTAATGAGTATCTTTCGACAACAGCAAATTTTAAACAAATTGAAATTGGTGTCTTGATGTGAGAGCAAGTGACTCAAAACCAAATTCAAACTTTATTTATTATTTTTATTTTTGAAAGTGGCCTTCTAATAAAAAATGACAGTGTGTTTATATAGCTCCCACTGAAAAACAAATCATTAATTGCATTTTTTAAGGTGTGTGGTGGCAAACTGTTTATTTAGGCTGAATTTAAACAAACAAATCAAGTTGAACATTACTAAATTTTATTTGTTTGTTTAAATGCAGCCCTTATAAATTGTTTGCAACCACTTCTCTTAAAAACATCTTAATCCAAGTAATTAATTATTTTTTCAGTGTAATTGATTTTAAACACAAATTTTAACACTTGAAATTAAGCTTTTCAAACTTTTTATTGTATGAATGGCACAAAACACAAGATAAAATACAAGCACACAGTTCATCTTGCAGTCTTTTCCTTTTGTGATGTATATCCAAGGTTTTTTTTATTCATTCATTCATTCATTCATTCATTCATTCATTCATTCATTCATTCATTCATTCATTCATTCATTTATTTATTTATTTATTTATTTATTTATTTATTTATTTATTTTATTTTTAGCTAAGTCCCTTTAATAATCTAGGGTCGCCACAGCAGAATGAACCGCCAATTTATCCAGCATATGTTTAATGCAGCGTGTCAAGAGAGACATGTGCAGGGCAGGGGGCCTTGAGGACTGGAATTGAGAACCACTGTGTTAAGCTGCGCTCACACTGCACTTTTCTCTCCATAGACTTCCATTCATACACATGCTAATGCGTCAGACCGGAAACGCAAGCTTGTGCGACAAATTTCGTAGATCGCTGCATTGGAATGTTCAAGCTTGGTGAACTCGATAGCACATCACATAATTGCGTGAGACCAATCGAAGATCAAAACATGACCTGTACAGAAATTTTAAATATGGAGCAATCGCTTGCTTTTTTAACGTCTAATCATCTTGTTTAATCCCATCCCATTTTGCAGCGCCATGAGACAGAATATCACAAGCTCAAACTCCAATGTGACTGCAGCTTTAGTGAGACAGACAAAAAAATAGCTCCACCCTCCCGATATCTCACAACATACAATACGACAGAAAGATTAGTTATTTCATGAGGGTAGGTGAGGTTAGGGAATTTTATTAAGATTGTCAAGATACAATTATTTTCTTTTTTTTTTAATTAAAATGAATTACACAGATCATTTAGAATAAACACCAGAGTATAAAAATAGAAAAGACACATTTTGATGTCATGACAACTTCATTTATATAGTTTATTAGAACTCTAGGAGACTGTACACGGAAATAACCAGAACATTACAACACTGAAGGAAATGTGTGCAGTTTATCTGTAAATCAAACAGGCAGTTACAACATAGTAACAGTAGGCTTTTGGCACCACCGGTTTTAGAAATATAATAATGCAAAATCATCCAAACTGAGTTTTATTTATTTTTTCAAATATATTTAGGCACATATAACAAATCTGCAGTTGTATATTTGTACACTTAAAAAAAATGTAAACATTTTTTTTTAACATAAAACAATTTAAATGTTGCCTACAAAGCCTCAAGAATTGTGTTGTTTCAGCTCAGTTTAAGTAAGCAGTTTAAACAAAAAGCAAATGCCATTTATTGAGTGTGCTGTAAAAGTACTGACCAAGAAAAAAAGTTTTATAGAAAAAAATAATAAGGCACAATTAACTTACAAACAATCAGCAACACACATCCACTTGACTATATCTGATGTTTCAGCACGACATACCTAATGTTAACAAACTAATGTTAGAAAAATGCCATAAAGAATCACTGAAATGGTCATTTGAACCCGTCAATTTTAGTGAATGCCCAAAAGAATCTGTATGAGAAAATGCATTAGATTTGCAATCATTATTAACGGCTGAGCATCAGTTAATCACCAATTGATTACCTCCGATATACTGACTTTTAAGACAAGTCGATCCGCATTAAAATAATTGATTCCAACTTTTAGAATCAACTCCCACCCTTATACTTTAAAGCAATCTTATACTTGTTTTTAATTGTAAAATAACCTTTACAGATCTTAACTTGGACCCTTAACAGTTTGAAAAATAAGAATAAAAAATGTGTAGACCACAGTCAATGCTGGTCATCTTCTGCTCATTTTTGCAGCCTGTGAGAATTTACAACTTTCCTCTGATCAGTTTTGTGCAAGATGAATCAGCTTACCACATAAAAGCGTTTGCAAACACTCCACACCTCATTTGACATTCATCTGATCTCCGTCTAAGTAAGAAATTCAACATACTGGACTTTCTGAAATTAATAGATTTTATAGCGTTTATGGAGTTTAAAGATTACATGTTGATTAATTTTAAAGGATATGTTATTAATACACAACATATTTAAAATATTTTATTTAATGTTAATATTAATATATATATATATATATATATATATATATATATATATATATATATATATATATATATATCTTTATTGTTAAGCTAACAATTTTAATAAATTAATAAACAAGAATAAAAAGTTATATATATATATTGTATGTTTTTTTGTAATTTTTTTTTTTGCACAGGTATTCACCATTTTATGATGCAGTCAGCTGGTTTTCTTCTGTTGTGTGTGCCACTCATTAGTCTACTCTGTGAATCGAGTAAGTACAGAATTAGTAAGATTAACTAATTTATAGTTAAAACATTGTTTGCAATGGAATTTAGGAGATTCTTTTTCTAGTGACTGATAGTAAGCAAATGTATTTAAAATTATTGAAATCAACTTGCTTGGAACAGTCTTAAATCTTTTCAAATCTTTTTCAGTTGTTTGTCGACTCAACAGAAAATTTAGTACAAATTGCATGACAAAGGTCTAATATATATTCAGTATTGTCATTGCCTACAGGTAAAACCCCTACAGGAGAATTTCCAGAGTCGGTCACTGCAAGAAGCTGCAGAGAACTTTTGAAGAAATATGGACATAAAAAAGGTATGAATGAATATGAATATCCACAAATAGGTCGGCACTTACAAAAACATGAGCATCAAATTTTGCAAAAGAAAAAAAATCACAATTTTTTTTTCATTAGATTTGGTAATATTTGTTAATAAAGTAAGGTCTGCTTTTCATACCTCTTAGTACAAAGCTTAAGCTGATCATTGCAATACCACCAGTCATTCGATCGAAGCCTGATTTCATTGTAGTTGCACATATTGCTCATAATCATTGTTTCAGAACACAAAATCATTATGATATGTAAAAATGTAAAAATTTGGTTTCACCAAACCACACAATAACATCTTTTTTAAGCTTAGTACTTTTGACAATCACGTCATTCAGAAGCAAACAAGACAATGTACAGGTTTTAAAGAGTATACACAGCTATAAAATGTAACTCTTATGTTCAGAGCTGAAAAAGAGTTATGAAAATGAAACAAGAAGTAACAATTAAAAATGCTGTAGATGATAAACATTTATTGAATATGCTTCAGAAAAAAAGGAAGTATAAATGTACATTAACATAGGGCTGAATGGAGTGGAAAAAAATGTGATCATAACAACATCCCCTTGTAGGTTATTATCAATAATTAGCAATACATGTCATATCTGCATTTTAAAAAGTTTATAACTAGGTTTTAGGTACTAGGTTTTGGCATGCAATAAAATGCTAAAATATAGAATATAAAGGTGATTTAAATCAAAGAGAAAGACTTTAATGTCCATTTGTATCTAATATGTCCACATCTCATTTAGTTTAGAGATTTAGAAGAGTTTTGATTAAGGTTTTGAGGTTACCAGAGCAAAAGGATAGTGCTCATGCTTGGGAAGAATGCTGTCGGCTTTATTGATTGTCGGATCATTCAATGAGAAATAACTGTGCTAATGACTGTTCTGAGATCAGTCTCTTTTTACTTACCCAGTCCACAAGTTACATAAACATTAAGCATTATTAAAATAGTTTCAGCTTTAATAGTTCACAACAATATTGTTCAAATTAAGAGATTAACTGACTCAACAAGCAGAAAAAAATGACAGAATAATTGAGATGAAAGGGGTTTGATCTCATCAGTTGTCTAAATATGTTGAAACACCACATTCAAATATTTCCCAAATGATGTTTAACAGAGCAAGGAATTTTTCACAGTTTTTCCTATAATATTTTTTTATTCTGGAGAAAATCTTATTTGTTTTATTTTGGCTAGAATAAAAGCAGTTTAAAAAAAAACAAAAAAACATTTTAAGGTCAATATTATTAGCCCCCGTAAGCTTTTTTAGATTTTACAGAACAAACCAGTTATACAATGATTTACCTAATTACCCTAACCTACCTAGTTAACCTAATTAAAAAAGTTAAGACTTTAAATTACACTTTAAGCTGGGTACTAGTATCCTGAAAAATATCTAGTAAAATATTATTTATTGTCATAAAGGCAAAGATAAAATAAAACAATTATTAGAAATTAGTTATAAAAATTATTATGCTTAGAAATGAGTTAAAAACTTCTTTCTATTGAACAGAAATTGGGGGAAAAATAAACAGGGGGCTTAATAATTCAGGAGGGCTTATAATTTTGTATATTAAGGTTCACAAATGTTTTTTTTATTATTATTCAGAACGTTCTGAGAGTTTTGTTTTTTTGAATAATGGCTCAATACCTTCACATATAACTGTGTTTCACAGACGGCTTGTACTACTTGCGCTCTAAAGACAATGAGGTTTACCAAACATACTGCGACATGAGCACCAACGGTGGAGGCTGGACGCTGGTGGCCAGTGTGCATGAGAACAACATCCACGGCTCGTGCACTGTTGGAGACCGCTGGACAAGTCAGCAAGGAAGCAGTTCATATCATCCTGCGGGAGACGGATCATGGTCTAACAAAGTCCTGTTTGGAACAGCAGAAGCTGCAACAAATGACGACTACAAGGTATAAACACAACTGCAAAACTGCATATTTCCCTATGACAACAAATCTACATAGATCAAACTCAAATAATCTGACACTTTCAGAACCCTGGATATTATGACATCAAAGCAAAAGACATTGCTGTGTGGCATGTTCACAATGATAATGAACTTGAGTTCTGGAAAGTTGCTTCGGTTTTGCGCTACCACACTAATAGCAACTTTCTGACACCTTTCGGAGGAAACCTTTATCACTTCTTCAAGGTACTTTGACTTCAATTCACTTTTTACTGTATCTTATGGTAGTGTGGGGTAAAATGATAATGGTGTACTTGAAAGCTGATTACAATATATAACCTGCATTGATTGATATTCCATAACCTTAGAATTATAAGGTTCTGTCTGCAGTCTAAATGATTTTGAGATATTGAGCTTCAAAGTTTTTGCATTCCATAGCAAACATTATGTGTGTAACATTTGTTTTTTAAATAAAAAGTCTTAAAATGTAAACAAATTATAAAAAAACATCCCATAATGTAAATAAGTTGTCATTTAATAGGAATTTGTCAATAACTCAATTTTGACAAAAATGTCAGATAGAACCTTATGATATTAAGGTGACGATTTGTGACATGTTTGCAATGATTGTACATGTTTTTCTCAGAAATACCATTTACAATATGGCATAGGTACATGCAACGATAGAGGGATATCTGTTCCTATTGTTTATGATATTGGCAGCGATATGAGGGTTAACGAACTGTATGGAGAATCTGTTAGAGGTAAGTCTATTTTTTAGTCATGAACAGTATAAATATTTATATTCTCATACAAGTAAGACTTCTACTGTGTTGCGGGAGGGTTGGAGTGTTCAGAAACAGTATACCATCACCAAGCCTTTTCGAACTGAGCCTTTACCCATCTAACAAAGAATAAAATAAAAAAAAACGTTGTGTGAAGTATACCACTGCCTTTCATTTTAAGTTAGGACTATTCGAATGGCCCACGCACTCACCCGCCTCCTCCTCCACTCTACATTTCATTCACGACACAACTACACCCTCTCTCCCACCCCTACTTTTCTTAACTTTTGTCCGCAACACCTCCCACCAGTCTTTAAGAATGTTGTCATAGGGCCTGTAATGGCCAGTAGTACCCTTGGATTTATTTTATCTACATTATTTTATCTACATTTTAACTTATTTTATCTACATTTTATTCCACAAAATTCATATCTTTTCAGTATTTTCTTTAAAAAAATAGAGATATCAAAAATCCCACCTGTAAAAACATTTGACTTTAAAAGAAAGCCCGAAAAAAAAATGAAAATGGAGAATAAACCTAATTCAGTAAAAAAAAATTTATCTAGAAACATAATTACATTTTAAATTAAATAATGCATAATTTGCATATTTAATGTGGTAACTATCTTTTGTTTAATGAATTCTACTCCGTGCCTTGCCTTAAAAAAATAAATTAATAATAGTAATAATAATAACAATTCTTTACATTTATATAGCACTTTTCTGGACACTCAAAGCGCTTTACACATTTTTGGAGGTGGTAGTGGAGACATAGTGATGAAGCTAATTATGATATGGGGATGGTTACGAGGCTATGATGGGCAAATTTGGCCAGGATGCTGGGGTTAAACATCCTGGGATTTTTAATAACCACAGAGAGTCCGGAGCCCGGTTTAACGTCTCATCCGAAAGATGGCGCTCACTGAGCAGTATAGAATCCCCTTCAGTATACTGGGGCGTTAGGACCCACACAGACCACAGGTTGTGCACCCCCTGCTGTTCTCACTAACACCACTTCTGGCTCCTAGCTTTCTTATGTGGTCTCCAATCCAAGGAATGACCAGGCGCAGCCCTGCTTAGCTTCAGTGGGCGACCATGTGAGAGTTGCAGAGAGCTAGCTGCAGAAACCATTAAAAATAACCATTGAAAATAACCATTAAAAACTAAAGATCCATTTAAAAATGTAGTTTAGTGACGTTTAAGATTCTTCATTGAACCATACAATGCAACAATGTTCCTTTATTTTATTTATGTATCATGTATGATACGCGTTGCATGTGTAAGATCTACAAAGTAGACTTTTTTTTTTTCAACTAACAAGCAGAAAACAGTCTGCCAAGTCTGTCACCATTTGAATAAGCATAATGTCATCCAAATACCTATGCAAAGGCAGAAGGCACGACGTATGAGAATTCTAAATTTGTCAGCATGATATGGAGGCACACAGGTATTCAACACTTGATAGATTCATTGTTGTCCAGTGTCTATTGGACCCTCATTTGCATTACCCCACCCCCGTTTAAAAAAAAAATAAAATACATTTTCACATTAATGACTCAAAACATTTATCTTTATATATTGCACCAAGCTAAGCACCTGTGTCTATGAAAACAATTTGAAAACAATTTATTTAAGCTGAATTAAAACAAACTAAATAAGTTAAACATTATTAAATTTGATTTCTTTGTTTAAATTCAACACAAATAAATTGTTTGCAACAGTTTTGCAGACATCATTTTTTTTCAGTGTATTTTTTTCAGTGTATTAACATTTTTATTAACCCTAAATTTGTACAGACCTGCATAAGTTTCTTTTTTCTGCTTAGCACATAAGAAAACATTCTGAAGAATCTTGGTAACCAGACAACAGAGAGCAACCATTGACTGTCATTGTATTTCTATTTCTTACTATGGAATTCAATGGCTACTGTCAACTGTTTGATTCTTCAGAATATCTTATTTTGAAAAAATTACACGTTTAAAACAACTAGAGTATGCAGGAGTAGTAAGTGCATTTTTATTTCTGAGTGAACTATCTGTTTAAAACCTCATTTTGAATGTATCAGAAACAGAGGACAAAAATAAAATAAAATAAAGATGTTTGATGCATGTTTTTGAATCTAGAATGATTCTGTGATTTCTATTACAGCCGATTTTGACACTGGATATGTGACGTTCAGAGTTTTCAACAATTACCAAGAAGCATATGCAATGTGTTCTGGGGTCAGACCAAAGGGATGTTATGCACAATATGTAAGTATCCCAAATGACAAATCTAACATGAAAAAATGGGAAAAAATCAAGAAAAATTATATAAAATTTTTTTTTAAATTATTATTATTATTTTGATCATAAATATGTTTACATCAACACAATTCTAACATTTTTGGCTCTATACACCAACACAACGGATTTAAAATTAAACAAATGTTATGCAATTTTATGCAATGACCAAGTCAATCACCTGATCTGAATCCGATTGAGCATGCATTTCAATTGTTGAAGAAAAAATTGAAGGGAAAATGCCCCAAGAACAAGCAGGAACTGAAGACAGCTGCTGTAGAGGCCTGGATAGAGCACCACCGGGAATGAAACCCAGCGTCTGGTGATGTCTATGCTTTCCAGACTTCAGGCTGTAATAGACGGCAAAGGATTTGCAACCAAGTATTAAAAAGTGAAAGTTTGATTTATGATGATTATTCTGTCCAAGAATAACACTTTCGGACCCTTAACAAGTGGAAGGCACTAATGCAAACTGTTGTAATTCCTACAGTGTTCACCTCATTGGGTTGTAAATAAGCTCAAATTAAGGCTGACAGTCTGCAGTTAAAGCACATCTTGTTTCATTTGTTTCATTTGAAATCCATCGTGTACAGTTGGTGTATAGAGCCAAAAATGTTAGAATTGTGTCGAAATATTTATGGACCTAACTGTCTAAATAATTTATTTTTCTTAATATTATTGGTGCCATCTTTACAATATCTGTGTCTTAATATATTTGTGCTGTTGATATTTATACGCTCATTTTTGTGTTTTGCAGTATTGCATTGGTGGTGGTGGCTACTTTCCAAACACTTTCTGTAGTGATTTTGCCTACTTGAATGCGAATAATGGTGCCACAAATGGATACGGTGCATCTAAAGAGATCATAAATGCGGCTGTATTTATTTTCTACCGCTAAAATGCATAAAAAAGGGGGGAAATGTCATGCATGTTCCAGCAAGTGTATTTCTTCTTGCAACATAATCGGAATTCAGCATTTATAGACACACACACATATACACAGCTTTATTTTCTCTTTAATGCGGTGGTTTTGTGCGCTACCCCACTGCTGTGAAAATCACCTTAAAGGATTAAGCAAGCACATAAGATCAAAAAACCATCATTATGCTTGTGTATTGATAAAATGCAAATAATAAAGTGTGATTTGCAGCAACATCATCTCACTTTATGCAGTTCTTCTTTTGTAGCACATCTCCTCACTTTATGTAATTCTTCTTTTGCCTCAAGAATTGTCAATGATAAAATACACTTGCTGGCCACTTTATTAGGTACACCTTACTAGTTCGTGGTTGGACCCACGTTTGCCTTCAGAACTTCCCCAATCCTTCGTGGCATAGATTCAACAAGTTGCTGCAGATTTTGTCTAATATTAGTGAGCCTGTGCAAAATGTAGCCAGTTTCCTGTTCTTACCTGACAGGAGTTGCACCCGGTGGTCTTCTGCTGCTGAAGCCCATCTGCCTGAAGTTTAGACATGTTGTGCATTTAGAGATGCTCTTCTGCAGACCTCAGTTGTAACGAGTGATTATTTGAGTTACTGTTGCCTTTACATCAGCTCAAACCAGTCTGGCCATTCTCCTCTGACCTCTGGCATCAACAAAGCACGTGTGCCCACAGAACTGTCACTGACTGGATATTTTCCTTTTTTCAGACCATTCACGGTAAACCCTAGAGATGGTGGTGCATAAAATCCCATTAGATCATCTGAAAATGAAACCAGCCCATCTAGCACCAATAACCATGCCACATTCAAAGTCACTTAAATCACCTTTCTTCCCCATTTTGATGCTCGGTTTCAACTGCAGCTGATCATCCTGACAATTTCTACATGCCTAAAAGCTGATTAGCTGATTAAAAATTTGCGTTAACAAGCAGTTGGACATGTGTACCTAATAAAGTGGCCAGTAAATGTATACGGTTAATCAATGAGAAAATACGTGAATAAAAAAAAACAATATTCTTAAAAGAACACATTTTTTGACTTTTAAGTATTTGTAATTATTTATTGCTCAGGCACAGAAAAGTCAATTAGCATGATTATACTTATATTACTTACATACTTGTTATTTTGCTTTAATAACTGCAGCGTGTGAAGTACATGATGCATAATCATGGTTTCACACGTTCTCTTTTGTTTAAACTTTTATTTATTAATAACTTTTATAATAACTTTTTTTTAACTTTGTGTCTTGAATTAGCCTTATAGGGCTAATTAGCCTTAGTCGTATATGTAGATTTTAAAACCGAGTAAGCTGCGCTATTAAATACATTTTAATTCAATTAAGTAAGTAAATCAAGTCATCAGTCCATCAATCAATAAAACAAGCCTTTTCAGAAATATCCTTAAAAGACGAATTAACATTTAAGATTTAATTTTGAGGCAACTTTCAGTTTAGTTACTCAAAATTTACTGAAAGTTAATTCTACTCATTTGAAAAGAGTTTTGAGCTCAGTGTTGAAGGTAATGAGTTAAATACCTTATTAAATCAACTTAAATGGAGTAAGTTCACAGTACTCATAGATTTTTTTTTCCTCAAATGGTTTATAGCAATCAGTTTCCTCAAACAGTTTGAATTGCCTTATTGGGTCATACAGTAATCAGTTGGTTTGAGTTCTCTTCATTTATTGGGTTTTATTGTGCTCAACTTGCTTCGTTTACTCAAATGGATTAAGTTCACAGTACTCATTAGGATTAGTTTTTGAAAAAATGGTTTGTTCAAATTGGTTTCTTCAAATGGTTTGAGTTACCTTTACTTTTGGGTTTTTACAGTGTACATACTGTACCATGGCAGCATTTAACCTGTCTTCATTTTCAGCAAACTTTCTATTTATTTACTTAGTATTTTTTTGGAGATGCATCTTGACAACATGGCTGTGTTTCAAAACCCCGTGAGCTGCCTACCTAGACATATATATAACCATATATATATATATATATTTAACAAAAAGTGAGAAAAAAATGTGTTTCAGGTATATTCTTGAAAGATAAATAAACATTTGATATTTCATGTTGGCACTGGAAAAAATAAATCATAAATCAACAATAATTGTTATTTGTGTATTATTTGGCTTGAAAACTTAATTGTGCCATTCCAGATAAGCTTATTTTTTATATATGTAGAATATATTTTCTTCATTTTATCCTCATTTTTTTGTTGTTGTTGTTCAACCTGCAATATATTATTAATAATAATTTTATAATAGTCATGGTGGCGCAGTGGGTATCACAATCGCCTCACACAGCAAGAAGGTCACTGGTTCGAGCCTCGGATGAGCCAGTTGGCATTTTTATATGGAGTTTGCATGTTCTCCCCGTGTTCGCGTGGGTTTTCTCCGGGTGCTCTCCCCCACAGTCCAAGGACTTGAGCTATAGGTGAATTGGGTAAGCTAAATTGGTAATTTATGAGTGTGTCTGATTAAATGTGTATGAATGTTTCCCAGTGATGGGTTGCAGCTGGAAGGGCAGCTGCCTAAAACATGCTGGATAAGTTGGCGGTTCATTCTGCTTTGGCGACCCCAGATAAATAAAAGGACTAAAGCGAAAAGAAAATTAATGAAGGAATTAATTTTATAATACGTTTTATCCTCATAGCCACATCTACGGATATTGTAACATGACAAGTGTTTTAAACTACCAATTTGTATCCGGCTAATTCGTTGACTAGCAAATTAAAAAAAATAAATAAATAGTAATAAACATTTATTGATTTTCATCTGGTTCTGAAGTATTGTTGCTTGGCTGTTTCCAAATCTAACTTAGTGAGCTGCCCACCTTTACGTTACGTTTTTATTTTTTAATGAGCTTCTCATTAACAAAAGAGTAACAAAATCCTATATGATACATAAATGCTGCGTAAATACGCAGCGACTGTTTTTGAATCACTTCCTATGAAAAGCCTGTGTGTACTTTGACCCTCCTCTCTTCCACTACTTGTGCTAGGAGGAATCGGAAGTATGTTGTTATGAAAAAAGGGAAAATCTGTACATCAAGAAAGGATCGAAAGGAGGAGGCAGCGAGATCTGATGCTATGGCATCTGAAAGGGAGAACAGATGGACCATTTGTGCTGTGATTGTGTTTTTGATAGCAATATGTGCAGCTCATATGACAGATCGACCTGCCTGTGAGTGTCACATTCCGTAACAACAGTTTTATTTTGTCTAATCAACATTATATCAAACACATTTCTTAATGTTATGCTTCTTTTTTGTTTCGTTATACCTAATTATGTTATCCATTATATAGCAACAATTAGCTGTTTTTAGCCTATGCTAACTGTCTTTACGTAAAACAAAACGTGTTCGCGTTAATGTTATTGTTATTCACCTCGTTGTATATTTTGTTTGAACTATATAACGTTATACGACATCTAAATGACATATTCTAGACATTTTCTGTGTGAAAGACGTGTTTATATTTAATTACGTTAACGTTATCTTAGTTTCTTGTTAGCATACAGTGCAGGTATATAGTAGCCACCAGTACATGATGCTCTTACGCATACAGTGACCGCAATTATAACAACATTAGGAGGTCTGAGTGATTCAAATTTCCCTCGTTTGGAGATCTGGGCAGTTTTTTATGATGTTTCTTGTGAGGCAGATTAGTGCAGGCATGTGACCGCAGGAGGGACAGAGTCACCATTGTAAATCTGCAGTAGTAGAGAGCACCAAAGCAGCTGACCATTTACTTCCATTAAGAGATATACATTTAGACTGAATTTAATTATACATACTTCAGTCGAGCTCTACAGAGCGGTGAGTATATTTCAGAATTGCTGTTAGATGTTTTTATTATTTTATTCCCAAGGAAAATGTAAGAGGATTTGTCACAAAATCAAGTGAGTTGCCTTCTTAGATGGCATTTTTAGGCATTCAGAAGCTATTTATTAGGGTTACTTTTGAGGTGCTTTTAACTTCAGTCTTTGAACACACAAGTTAAATTGTCTTTTTGTAAAGCAAAGTTGTTTATAATTAATAATTGATGATCTAGTGGCCTCTTTACAGCTTCTCGCCCTCACCGCAAGACTTCTGTGCTGAAGATGGATGAAGCGGCTCTTTCGGTTATCAATGAGGTCGAGGAGGAGATGGTGCTTTATGTGCTTTCTGATCACTGTTATCAGGTATGGGATATTGATGTTCTGGCTTTTTAATTTTTTTAGAAGACAACATTAAACATACTAGGCATTCAACAGTATTTTGTGTGGGCATAACATTGTCAGTAATGATTGAGATAATTATTTTCTTGCGTAGGTGAAAAATGAAAGCTTAAATGAGTTTTAATTTATCATCAGTGTGGCAAACGAAGCTCAAATAAGTTATTAATTATTGCATTATTAAATTAAACCTTCTAGATTTGCCATATTTGATGTGTTATGCTTATTAAATAGTAATACAACGTAATAAATCACTATTTTATAAAATACAACGTGTAAAGCTTTTTTCGAATGTACAGTATGCAGTCAGAGATGGAATGCAATGCCAAATCTAGCATTTTAATTAACTCTTGGTGGTTCAAACCAAGGATGATAACTAGCAATAAAGAAGATGTCTTTAAAAGAATATTTATTTCAGACCATAACTATAATAATATAGAACAACTATATCACTACAATCAGCAAATGCTAAGCAGATTAATGATAAATACATTGATACCAAATAAGAATCCATCTTGCTTTAAAGAAAATGAGCATAAAAACTACAACTGACAAAAACTACAACTCATACCTGTGATTGTATTCTTGTATTGGTATGTATAAATTTATTTTTATAGTTGTTATTTTAGTTCTAGAGGAGTTTCAAAAAGTTTAAAATTGAGTTAGTTGTCCACTTTGTTTGGGCTGGCTTTGTTTTGGTAAACAGAGTTCAAATGAAGATTCGTATCATATATTATATATGTAAGACAATATATTACAGCTGCAAAGAAAATTATCAGTTTAACACATCATGATGCTGCTTAAAGTGTTAGTTCACCCCAAAAGCAAACCCATTAATTACTCAACCTCATGTCATTCCAAACCTGTGTCTTCAGACTAAAATGTAAGATAACATCTGAGAGCTCCCTCATTCTCCATAGACAGCAATGGTCACAAGACGTTCAAAGTTTAGAAAAATGCCAAAAACACACCATTTGCCTTTAGTGGTTCAGTTGGAGTATTATGAGAATACTTTTGTGTCCACATAAAGCAAAAATAAGGACATTTTCTAAAATAGCAAGCCTTTTGTCCTTAGTGTCAATATATTGCTCATGCAGTGACGTGTAGCCCCCCTAGGTGTGAATGTGCACCCTTTACTGACACTGAAGAGAAGAAACTGTTAAAAAACAAAATTAATAAATACATTTGTTATTACTGTTTATTCATGCACAAAAGGATTCTCGTAGTTGATAAAATTTTGATTGAACTACTGAAGGCATAGATTTGTTTTGAGGATATATTTAGCTATTTTTCTGAACTTTGAACAAGTTGAGGCATATGCTGTCTATGGAGATTGAGAAAGCTCTCAAATTTTACAAGTAATCTTATTTGTGATCCAAACAAAGTTATTTGGAAAGACATTAGGGTGGGTAATTAATAACAAAATTATAATTTTGGGTAAACTAACACTTTAAATCCCTGTGATTTTAAGGCCCACCACAACATAATGTAGGTGTGTGGTTTTCTTTGCCCATCAGATTGATTGACAGAAGCATATTAATTTGTCTCCGTAATAATGCATATAAACATGTCTACAGAACAGGATTTACAAAGAAAGTGGGATTAAAAGACCTGTTCCAACTCTCTGTGATCAGCTGTACCTCAAGAATGAGTTTTGCACGTTTAAATGATTTTAAAAAAGTGCATGATTTTAATAAAGCTCATTTGCTAATTAGAACCTAATAAGAGTAAAACCTAAGTTTAATCTTTTGATATGATGTAAGTTTAGAGAAAAAAACTATGTCCATATACAGTTGAAGTCAGAATTATTGGCCCCCTTTTGATTTTTTTTTTCTTTTTAAAATATTTCCCAAATTATGTTTAACAGAGCAAAGAAATTTTCACAGTATGTCTGATAATATTTTTTCTTCTGGATAAAGTTTTATTTTCTTTTATTTATTTATTTTAAAATAAAAGCAGTTTTTAAGTTTTTAAAAAAAATTTAAGGACAAAATTATTAGCCCCTTTAAGCTAACGTTTTTCCGATAGTCTACAAAACAAACCATCATTATACAATAACTTTACCCTAACCTGCCTAGTTAACCTAATTACCCTAGTTAAGCCTTTAAATGTCACTTTAAGCTAAATAGAAGTGTCTTGAAAAATATCTAGTAAAATATTATTTACTGTCATCATGGCAAAGATAAAATAAATCAGTTATTAGAGATGAGTTATTAAAACTACTCTGTTAAACAGAAATTGAGGAAAAAATAAACGGGGTGAATAATTCAGGGGGACTAATAATTTTCCACTGGAGGTCTTCAACTGTATGTGGATTCGTGATACGAATTTACATAAAACACTTTTTCCTGACTGTTTTTAATTCGTATATAACATACCATTTTCCTTTAACTTGCTTTGACTATTAGAGAGTAAAAACAAAAATGTTTCCCATTTTGCACAGTTAGTATAGTGTTTGGGACATTTCATATGTTGCAAAACAGTTGCAAAATGACACTATGTCTCCTAACATAACAAAATATAAAACATTAAAAGGATTTTAAATAGCCACTTAAGAGCTAAAATGTGCTGTCCACGTATGTGGCCATTAAGCCCTAGGAGGTTAAAGGCAAATGCTACAAAACAGCTACAATGTAATCTAACTCCAAAATTCACATATTCAGCAGGGTATAATAAATGATCCGATGGGTATTTTGAGCTGAAACTTTACAGACACATTCTGGAGACACTTAAGACTTATCTTACCTCCCGTAAAAGGTGTGAAATAGGAGCTTTTTAATTCTATTGTTCTAAGAGGACAATGTACTTGTGTTGTCTCTGCCTTAGTGTTTGCCTCAGCCGTTGGGAATGATACCTGCAAGGCCCACTTCTGGAACCCCTGCTTCAGTGGGATTTGTCGTAGGCACACAGCACGCTCTGACACTGTTGATCAACAGCACAACAACGCCGCAGCAATGCAAGTGAGTCCACTGGAGCATTTAACTCAGGACAAAAGCAGTTTCAGGCCAACTTTACACCAAAAACAACTTTACCATGTTTATTTCCCTCGGGCACCATTTTTAAGACAGGGCGTTATTGTCAGACAATTGATTTGTTTTTCCAGGGTAAATTTCCACTTTGGGGAGCAGGGGAACTATTCTCTGTGGGTGAAGAACCTGAATGAGCCGTCACAGATCAACTGCGAAATGATCACTGATTCAGATCCCATCAACAGCTACCTGCGTGAGTCTGCCTTACCTCTGCACATCACGATTGATCTGTTTGGATCATTTTTGATATTTTTATTAAGGGTTTTGTTTACTTGTGGTCAACTGGTATCATTATAGAGGTAAAAGTAATTGTCTGAGTTTAAAGCAAGAAATAGTTTGTAACTTTAATAAAGTGATTTAGTCAATTTCAAGTCAAGTCAAGCTTTATTGTCATCCTGCTACATGTTTGGACATACAGAGGATTGAAATGTTGGTCTCGCAGGACAACTACATAAAATAATCATAAATGCAAACACAACACTGGACATAGGAGCTATTTTAAAGAACCTATGCATAACTAACATGTACTAAAAGATACTTCAACTATACACGTAAGACAGGCTATACAAGTACAAGTTTCTGTGCTTAAATACTGCTAGATTCCCCAGAAAACCATAAAGCACTGCATATTTCACTTTTGTCTTTGCTTTGTTGTATTTATTTATGCTTGTAATATATTATATTTTGCAGATGCACTGCATAGAAAAAGACTTAATCATCCCATTCAATCTAAATGAGAGCTATTCAAATCATCTGCTGAAATTATATTCATGTCACGATATATATTGTAGAAAAACAAAATATTGCAGATTATTTCAGTATTGTTGAATCTATAATTTTTGTTCAGTTTTAATATCTGAAATTTGTTATTATAAACATAATTAATGATTCTAATTGTACAACTATACAGTTGAAAATAAGTACTGTTCATTTTATTCTAAAAATGTTTTAACATTTCTGTTTATCGGCCAGGTCTGCCATTTGGAAAAAAAAATAATTGACCAATATTGTAAGATTAATTGCTCTGTGCCATGGGGAAGGTAACTTGTTTAATAGTTATTTGGATATTTTACTTAATCTTACAAGCTTGAAAAAGTAAAAATTTTGTAATGAAAAAATTGCCAACATCTGACCAGTTCAATGTTAGCATAAGCAATGACGGTTAAGGAGAAATTCAAAATATTGCTTGAATTAATTACCTTTTATAATATAATATATGATTGTTATATTAAAATGTAGGAAACTGACAATTACAGATTAATAAGACTGCCTTTTTTTGCGTAACTTGTAATTTTAAGTGGGTCCAGTTTTTGTGATTCACCTGTGATCAGTATAATATAAAATAGGACAAATAATAAAAGATTATTTAGTCTGCCTTAATCTGACAGATTTTTTTTTTCTTTCTTTAAATATTTGCCAAATGATGTTTAACAGATTCAAGAAATTTTCACTGTATGTTTGATAATTTTTTTATTCTTCTGGAGAAAGTCTTATTTGTTTTATTTCAGCTAGAATAAAAGCAGTTTAAAAAAAAAAATTTTTTAATGTCAAAATCATTAGCCCCTTTAAGCTATATATTTTTTTCAATAGTCTAAAGAACAAACCATTGTTATAGAATAACTTGCCTGATTACCCAAACCTGCCTAGTTAACCTAATTAGCCTAGTTAAGCTTTTAAATGTCACCTTAAGCTTTATAGAAGTGTCTTGAAAAATATCTAGTAAAATCTTATTTATTGTTATCATGACAAAGATAAAATAAATCAGTTATTAGAGATGAATTATTAAAAGTATCATGTTTAGAAATGTGTTCTCTTCTCTCTGGTAAACAGAAATTGGGTAAAAAATAAACAAAGGGCTAATAATTCAGGGGGGCAATAATTCTGACTGCAACTCTATAATGATGCAAATGAGGCATAAAAGAATTGCTCAAATTAAATGAAGTAATTCGAAGGGAAAATAAATCTGTTAAATAATTTATTTATTCACTTGAGCTTGAGTAAATCTGTTTTCTTTTTCTTTTTTTAGCTATTCTGTTTGCTTTTCTGGTGTTTGCTTTTCTGGCTGCATTATCAGCAATCTGGAGCACAGTTAAAAGGTAAACCCATCTTTAAATATTTTTTACTCCAAGTAATAATGACATTTAAACAACCCCAGAACACCTTGTTGTAACCATTCTAGTTTGAAAGCTTTTAAAAACAGAGTTTTTGTGGCATTTTTAAGGCTGGATGCTGTGACAAATCTACTTATTCGCTTGGGGGGAACAGTTGAGACAGAGAGGCTGATAAACTCGGTAAAAATGGCTTTAATACATTTATAATGCTACCCCTAATACTGTGTGCTTGATTTTTCACTTTTTGAACTTAAAAAAAATGCAATGTTTTAAATATAACACCACACTTGATTCAGTGTTTTTGCAGGTTTCAGGTGAGTGTGAAAAATTACAGACATGATAAGGAATTTTTATGTTTTTTTCTCTCTCATTAATTCAGACTTTCTCACTCCCTTTTTTTCCTCCCTTCATCTCCAGGAGCTTGGCACTCCAAACAGATTGGTAGATGCCTCCACGGAATCGATAATTCCTGCCACTACAGGACGGAGGCTTCGTTCTTTGGATACTTTCCGTGGGTACGATGCTCTTTCGCTAATTGTTTCAGGTCCAATGCTCTTGAGAAGGGAATTGAAAATTTCAGGTGCAAATGATCTCGCACAGAATCTACTATTTTACATACCGTGGAGCTGGTTGTCAGAATTTAATTTGCATTTCATTTATTATTATCCCGAAATAGAATGATTAAATTTGAAGCAAGGTTACATTAACTGGTAACCTTACCTAACAATTGGAGCTTAATTACAGTTATTTTCATTTTCGGTGTATTATTGTGTCGACCTGCTTTGTAAAAGAGTTTCATCATTTTCTTGTGCTTTGGTTTCATTTCAGATCTCTTTACGGGTAATAATATCCCCTCTGTTGTTTTGTTATTTCTCACAGCCTTTCACTGGTCATCATGGTGTTTGTCAACTACGGAGGTGGACGTTACTGGTTTTTTAGGCATGAAAGTTGGAATGGTAAATGTTTTAGTTTTTTCTTTACAATAAGGGAGCTGCGGTAGAATGTAGTGTAAATGATCTATAAAGTTTTAAAGCCCAAAGTGTGTGACAAAGTTACTGTCAGCTTAAATGGATAGTTTTTACTGACTATAGAAAGTTTACTAACTATTTTCTCAACCTCAAGAGGTTCCAAACTTTTTAAGTTTGTTTCTTCTGTTGAACACAAAAATAAGATGTAACCTGTAACCATTGACTTTCATAGTGAGAAAAACAAATGGTGGTCAATGTTACAGGAGAAAGAAACTGTAAGCAAAATTAAATGAGGGAAGTGTGAGTAAATGATGTCAGAATTTTCAATCTTGGCGAACTATCCCTTTAAAGAAAAGAATCAAATTTGAACTTAACACATAGTTTATTTCTTTTGTGGAACATAAAAGAAGATGTTTTGAAAAATGCTGGTTGCTGGGACCCAAAATCGGCTAAATTGTATTTTTTTTTCACTCTATGAAAGTTGTAGAATCCCAGCAACCAGCAGTTGTCAAATATCTTATATTGTGTTCAACAGAAAAAAAGAAACTTGTAAATGATGAGGTAATTTTCATTTTGGTGTAAACTATTCTTTTAATATGGCCTAATCCATTAAGGCACAAATTTTATTATAAATACTATTATAACTCCATTATAAAGAACAAATTCAGTATACAGTATATTGATTAGATGTGCAAGAAAGAAAACTTGTCCGGCGTTTGGCATCACTGAGCAATGAGAAAGTCTCCAGAGCTGAAATTCGAATACAACAGACTGTACCATCTGACCAATCAGAGCAGAGTAGACTCTCATGAATGAGGGGCTTAGGAAAAATCTTCAAGAATCAAAGTGATGAAAAAAATTATTAAAATATTTTACAAGCAAGTACGTGATCTTGAATGCACTTAAACTTTTTGTAGGAAACTGATTGTAGAATTTGTTTTGCAAAATCAGGAACTTTTAAAGAGTTAGTTCTACCAAAAATAAAAACTGTGTTTTTAATTAGACGTTGCAATCCCCTGAAACTTTTTTTGGAACCCAAATTAAGGTATTTTGGAAGAAATCCAGGAGCACTTTTATCCCCCATATACAGCAATGGTCCTGAGATGTTCAAAGTCTAAAAAAGGAACCAAAATATTGTCAAATTATTACATGTGATTTCAATGGTTTAACTGTGATTATAAAATTTCCATGAACGATTTTTGTGTGGTTAAAAAAACAAAACTGTATAAGCAACTTTGCTTGAGTATGATTTTCTCGTCTGGTCAGATTAGGGTGTGCATTTACTATGGGAAATTCTGCTGGTAATAATTAGCACCCTGACCTGATGCATTTTTATTTATTATAAAATTGTTATATTTCTGTATTTGTTTATTTCTATATAATTGATATTTATTAAAATGTATTTAATAAAATTTTTATGTTTATATACTTGTTTATTTAGATTTTATTTTTAAGCTATGTTTATTTATTTATTTTTTTTAATAATCATTTCCAACCTTTAATTGGAAAGGACAGTGGAGGTTACAGACCGCAAAGTATTAGGAGCAGAAAGAGGGGAGGGGTCGGCTAAGGACCTCAAGTTGGGAATCTAATTTAGTCACTGTGAGCACTACGGTGCTATATGTCGGCGCACTTAACCACTATGCTATTGGCGTCAACTTAATTATTTATTTTAGTAAAATCAGTTAAATAAAATAAAATACAATTATAAAAGTTGAATAAATTTTTTTTATAATTATATATATATATGTTTGTTAATTTATTTATATTTATTTTTTATATTTATAAATAAATGTTCATTTTTTATTTATTTTTGTTTATTTATTTATATTTATTTATTTATTTTATTTTATTTTATTTGAACATCTCAGGACCATTGCTGTAAATGGGGGATGAGAGAGCTCTCAGAACTAATCTAAAATATTTACATTTGTGTTCCAAAGATGAACGCAGGTTTCAGGGGATTAGAACTACATGAAGGTGAGTAATTAATAGATTTTTCTTTTTTTTGTGTGAACTAACTCTTCAAAATAGCTAAACTGGGCCACTTTAAAAATTCATATGAACCGCACTTGTCATTAATGTAATAGACCACAGCATGACAACAGGAAGCGATATCTGATGGTGTTCTTCCTCTTGCAGGGCTCACAGTTGCTGATCTCGTGTTCCCTTGGTAAGCCAATCCGACGTCACATATGATTGATTCTGCTCCCCACATGCATACAAAGCAGCTCCTTCAAACTCTGCTTGAGTTCTGTATTTTTTATAGGGCAGCTTTATATTTCTGTACCGTGCTTTGATTGATCTGCAAGCCACATCAGCGCTGGCATAAGCTATAGTGTTTCTGAGCCAAGCATGAGCGCTTATCACTGTGGCACAAATGAAGTGGCATATCAGCATAAACTGGTTTCACAGCTGAACTAAAACCAATAACCTTGTTTTCTGCTGTGCATCTGAAGAAAGTGCCTGCTGCAGTGCTTCACGCTTTAAAACAAGTTGTTAGTCATGACACCTCTGTGATGTTTAAGGCAGCTTGTATAAAAAAAAAAAGTGTGTACTCACTGACATGTTGTTCCAAATGCACTTTTGTTTTTTGCTTTAACCCTTATGTACTGTTGGGGATGTTATGTACACTGTTTTTGACCCATTGACTTCCATTACAACCTCCAAGGCTCTATTTTTAGCTCTGGAGCACATTGAAAATGCTGAAGACACAATTTTATTATTTTTTTCTTACTCAAAATCTTGTCTACAAACATTAAATTCTTTTAAAATGGAGCATCACATTATTATTGACATTTTTATCAAAGTGAACAAACTACAGAGAAAGTTTTATAATATAGTTTTCTGCTGGATCCCAGCACATGCTGGACTATTTGGAAATGAACAAGCCGACGAAGCCTCCAAAATAGCCCTAACAGGAAAGATAAAAGGAGTGCAAAACCCACCTTTGGATATAAAGCCACTAATAAAAGGCTACGTTTTTAACAAATGGTAAGCAGAATGAGATCAGTGCTCTGAAAATGAACTTTTTGAAATTCATCCAGAAATAGAAAATCCAATTTATTTTTTAACTCAAGACATGATGAGATGTTTATAGAAGATGTCGCATTGGACACTCGATACTCACGCATGAACATTTACTCAAAGGAGAAGGAATGTCAATATTGCAACAGTAACCAAACTGTTAAACATATTCTTGTGGAATGCCCTATTTTTAGTGTTTTCAGACAACGTTTTTATCTGGAGAGACTTTTAATTGAAATATGTTTAAATGTGAATCCTTCTACAATTGTATAATTATTATCAAATTGTACAATTATTATCATTACCTGGTATATTATTTATTGCTGTTAATGACTTTTAATTGTTAGAATATTTTTATAATTATAGAAAAGTGGGATCTATAAAATGTCTGGCTATGTCATTTTCCCATGACATAGCCAGAGAAGCTGAAATGACAATAAACTCAAAATTCTCTCTCTTTTCCTTGTTGGGAAGAGGTAAAATTTGTCATTTTTACTGTTGATCATCAGTAGGCATCATTAACCCTTTAGACAGGCCTGTGCAAAAAAAAAAAAAAAAAAAAAAGGTTAGTTTCTGCATTTTATGTGGAGTAAAACACCAAATAAAAGTGTATGTCTGTGAGTGTGTGAGAGTGACCTTAGTGCACTTGCCTTGATATGTTTGACGAAATCAAAATGTGCTTCGCAGATCTCAGAAGTACATGGAGTAAACAAAAAGACTGTGTATTAATGCACTATCAAATGTGGTTATAATGGAAGTCAATGGGCCAAAAACAGACACTTTTGCTATTTTAAGGATGGAAAAATACGCTTTGCGCCATGGTGTATGGTCTAGCAGGGTTGTGCTTATTCTTTTAATGAGTTATGGGTGTGTATTGAGTATAACGTGCATTAAACCAATTATAGGCTCAACTCCCATCTTCTTTAAGAGTCAGATGCATCACGCGATGGCGCATTTGCTATTTACATGGCGGACTTTGTAAGTGGAAAAACTGAATGCTTCACTTGCGAGAAAACTGTTAAACAGACCATTTGCAGCGAGGATAAAGAACGAGTCTCCTCCATTCACCCTCTTTACTTTCAATTTATTTTAACTCTACTTTATTCATTTACTTTTGTGGATAAGGAAACTGTGTTGTACGCACTCCACTGAAGACATCCATAACCTTTCATATTTAATTTTGTTAAGCACAAAGATTTGTTTCAAAACGATTTCTAAATTCAGTTCTAATTTCCTGCACACAAATAAAAGAACAATAACAATGAAGTGTGGTCAAAAAACATGGTGATGCATGCACAAATCTAAACTTGTTTTTATGAAAATAGAAACGCGTCAACAATGCGTCTTAACACACCTCCTTTATTAGACAGGAACACCCATGAGTCCGCTAATGGATTTGCTCTTTAAACAATGTGGCGCAAAATGTGAAAATTAGGGTTGTGCTGGTCTGAAAATAGCAACAAATCGCGCAAAACACATTTTTGCGCCTTATTGCGCTAGGTGTATGATAGGGCCCTTGGTGTTTAAAACATACATCTTATTATTGTCCATTTAGACAACAGTTTCCTTGTCTAAAATAATATTCTGGATACTTTATTTCAAAATGCTTTTGATGACTAGAAATTTCGTATTGGCATCATTTACTTGGAACAGAAGTATTTTATAACCATGTGTATGATGTTGAGCTTATTTTAAATCAACTGAATGCATCCTTGATGAATAAAAGTTGTACTTTCAGCAAAGAAGTGTTTAGGAAAAAATATTCAGCATTTAATTTAGATTTATTTTTGAATGGTCTGGCTCTCGCTGTGAATATAGCCATAGAAGGTGGTGTCCCATTAAAAAAAGGAAAGGAAAAATGCCTAATGACATCTACTGTATCTTTTAAAACAGCTAAATAAATAATATATAAAACTTAATTGATAGCAATCATTTGAAGCTAAATCATGGCTTAGTCCTGAAATTAAGGCTTTTTATTCTCATGAAATCATTTGCAGCATTACTCTCTTTCATAACTTTGCATTATCTGAATTGGCATTGTGTATTAAGAGCTGTGACATTCTTATGCTCCAAAAAGTCTCCTTTGGTGTTCCACAAAAGAATAAATAATAAATGAATTTGAAACAACATGATTGTGAACCTTTAATTTAGCCAAAAAATACTGTGATTAATTAATAGACCTTTAAGTTTTGGGTGAACTAGCCCTTTAAAATGGCTATATTGCAGATTTTAATACAAAGCATACTGTAAAGAGTTCTGTGGTGTATACTGTATGTTATGAAAATTTGAACGCATATTAAAAACATATAGCATGTACACCCCTGGATGACTTTAGTGAGGAAGACAGTGCATTTTATTTGAAAGAGATGCTGAATGAGTTCATAACACAAGAAAGACTGCAGACAAATGACTGCTACTGTCTTTGAAGAGGAACCGGCTTTTACTTGATTACATTTGTGGAAGATGCTTAATCTTTGTGTTGGAAATCGGGCCAGAAACTGTCACTTCCTAAAAGAGAGATCTATTTTTTTTTTAAGTCTCCCCTTTTGTCTTGCGTTCCTCTTCACAGGTTTGTGTTCATTATGGGTACATCCATTGGTTTGTCCCTGAGCGGTTCATTGCGCAGGGGTGTCAAACGCACTCATCTTCTGTGGAAGGTTTTCTGGAGGAGCTTACAACTCTTCCTTATCGGAGTCATCATCATCAATCCTAACTATTGCCAAGGACCCTGTGAGTGGTAACACAGTTTTCTTCCTTTTTTTCATGGAATATACAAAACAGTGATTCCCTGTAATCATGAATCAATTCTGCCTTATTTTAAAAACTGAATACTGTCAGGTAACTCAACAGTATCAAACCTGATTTCCCATTAGTTTTTTTTTTTTTTTTTTTTTGGGTACAGTAAGCACACATACTGTCATGATACTGGATTTTGGTACTAATCAATGAAATTTTTAAAACGTCCATTTCGCATTCATTTTTAAGCACTGTTGATCGTGTTCTTGAACAAAGCTGATTTGCCAATGTGTTTACTTGCTTAAAAGAAATGACTGATTGGCTGTGAAGCTCATCAGTTCACCGCTGTTTACTGAGTGCAGACACAGATACAGACACTGGAGGCATTTAAAGTTGCAAAGATCAGCTGGTCTGTTTATGATCTGACATACAAACGATCCACTAATAAATCGACTGATATTCTTTGATCAGCTTTAAACTGCTCCAGTGTCCCTGTATCTGTGTCACAGCGGTGAACTGATTACATTCACGGCCAATCACAATCATTTCTGTTGAGCATGTGAACACACGTCAACTTTAATGAATGTCAAGTTGAAGATGGTAAAGATAAATGTAATATAGCATTTAAATGTTTTATGCATGTGTCCATGTTTCTGTGCAGTGTCTTGGGATTCTCTGCGTATTCCTGGTGTATTACAGCGTCTGGGCTTTACGTATCTCATCGTCGCTGCTTTGGATCTTGCTGTGTCCCCAGACCGACTTACCAACCTGTCAAGTGTAAGTCACGTTATCCGTATGTGTTTTACAGGATTTGACCATTTTATTGAATAACAAAATATTTGATCCCTTCATTTGTAAAAATATACAGTCCTAGTTTATATTAGATGGTCTTAACTACTATATGCTTGTATAAATAAATATAAACACTATGTACTTACTGTGTTCATAATGGTTTGTAGTACAATTCTGGAGCTCTTGATATGATATAGGGGTAGGGTTAAAGACCGGTTTGGCTGTATGGGTAGGTTTAAGTTTGGGTTAATGTGTAAAGGATAGTCAAGATAGTAGTTACAAATGTAGATACAGCAATTAATTACAGATGTAAATACATGCAGTTAGTTAATCAATCATAAGTACTATGTAAAAACATGCATTTACACATTAAGTACATTGTAACAAATGAATAATTTCAGTGCATAAAATCAGTGCAGACATCACGATGTATGCATCGCTGCATGGTCAATGTCTGGATTAGAGTTGATGTGTTTGCAAAGTATAACTATAATACATTGAAAGTGTATCATTTGCATACTTTTTAAGGTCTGTGACTGTGTGAGCATTTTAAGCAAGTTTAAATAGATAGTTCATCCCAAAATAAAACTTTACCGGTAAATTCATAAAAAAGGTGTTCAAACAGGCACGGGCATTCTGTAATTTTTCCGGAAAAAACCATTCACACATCCATTCCAAATACTGGTAAATTCGGACATCATTAACCAGAAATGAGCTCTTAATGCCTGCGCTTGTGTTTGTAAACAAAGAAGGGGTTGGTCTTTTCTTGATGGTTCTCTTTTGTTTAAAGCTTTAACATTCATGCAGCTGCTTTATGAGACATCTAAAAGCAGAAACGCGAATCAAAGCTAAATGTTTATGTATATAATATGCGCGTGTTCCTTCGTGTGCACACGCATTCATGCAACTGAAACAGAGCTTGAAGGTAAATGACGGTTTATCATAAGCATTTTATCAATTATCTTTTACACAGTTGGTATTAGGAAGGAACATAGAAAAGTTATCTGACTAACATCTAGCAGCTACATGTGTCTGGAAAAGTGTTCAAAGGCTTTTGTTTTCATAAACCGAGTGGATGTGTTCTGATTGGCTAAAGTAGACATCTCACATTAGCACATTCTAGATGTGAACGTGCTCTTTTTAGCAATTTTCCTTCTGCATTCACACAGAGCAGCATTCTGGCAAATTACCGGTAATGTTACAACTTCTCTTGCAGGAAAATTGCCGGAACTAATTTACCGATATTTTCAAAAAGGGCCTGTTCACACATACAGACCTTTCCGGAAAATTGTTGGTAATTTTCTAGAAAGGTCTGTATGTGTGAAAAGGGCTAAACAGTTTTGTGACTAAATGTTGAATGAATTTTCAGTTTTGGGTCAGCTATACTTTTTTAAAGCATTTGAGCACAAGGAATTATAACATTTTCAACTTTAACAAAGATTTATTGTGTTTCATTATATATATGATGAAGACTCTGCACAGTTTTATTTTTATATTCTGACTTAACTGTGCTGTATTATTATGTTTTATGTACATTTATTAGAATATTTTATATGATACACTTCCCAATGAAAATCACTCCAATCAATCTAAAATTACAAATTCTTCACAAAAAGAGCGATTCAAGTCATCTGAAGTCATATTCATATTGCAAAATGTATTGGTTAAAATCTAAATATTGCAGTATATTTTCATATATTGTGCAGCCATCTAGCACAGAAGTGTTAGTCTGCTTGCTGAAACTATTTGCATTTTAAACTTTTTAAATTTAAATATAATGTTTTTCAAAACTAAATCTTATACTATTGATTGAGACATATAAAATAAAATTAATTGTGATTTTCCAAAAAATATTGGATATTAATGTTAAATATTAATATATCCAAAAAATATTATAATTGTTTTTCAGCATATTTATTTTTTGCTTATTTTTGCTTTACTGACTGCACAACCATAACCTGTACTACTACTACTTCTACTAATACTATTACTACCAGTACTATCACTACTACTATAATAATAATAATAATAATAATAATAATAATAATAAAAAAAATGAAATAATAATAATAATAATAATTGTAATTATTTCAGTTTTGCATCGTCTTGTCATTTCCAGGAAACATGCTGGTATTGGGTGCATGATATCTGCCTCTACTGGCCCGCATGGTTGTGTGTGATTATCCTCGAGACGGTCTGGCTGTGTTTGACCTTCCTCCTCCCAGTGCCTGGCTGCCCAACGTTAGTACAGTCTTATTCATGATATGAATGCATCATATTTTCAGAGCTGTCTATTCCCATATTCCTTACCTTATTTGCAATTACAAAGGGAACCTTCTGAAGAAACGACTGTTTTTCTGTCTTGTTAAAATTATAGGACATTTGCATAGATATCAGCAATGCCATATTAGAAAGAATAGATTTGACAGCCTAATGCAAAACATATTGTTAAAAAGCATTGGTAAAATATCAAAATGGAAAAACAAAAGAAATCTTTTACACATTGCAATTTACATGGTTTAATGTAACCTTATTAGTCAGTTGTATTGGATGGATGTATGCCATGTAAATGAAAATGAATATGCAAATGAGAGCATTTTGAAAAGAATGACTCACGCCTATCTGTTTGCTATTCATGATGCACGTCTTGTGTGGAAATTGCTATTTATGCTTTTGGCTTCTCTCTCCTGCAGTGGTTATCTGGGTCCAGGGGGCATTGGGGACTTTGGCCAGTACCAGAACTGCACCGGTGGAGCTGCGGGTTACATCGATCGCTGGCTGCTCAAAGATAATCATATTTACCAGACACCTTCATCACGGGTAAACACTAGGGCTGGGCTCAAAATGTTGGTTTAGGCTATTTTAAATATTTTACATGGTTTCTGAGGTATTTAAAGTCTTAAAGGGTCTTAAATTCACAGATTTTTTTGTGAATTAAATCCTTAAAAAGTTCTTGATTAAAGATCAAGTCGTAAAATATGTATGACAGTGTCATTCATTTAAAAAGGAATCGTTTACTCATGCATTTTATTTTGACAAGCCCCTATTTTACATTAAAAAAAGTCATAATTTGCTTTTAAGGGTCTCCAATAACATGCTGATATGCGTGCAAGGTCAAAAAACACTTTTGTCTTATAATATGTATTTAATTTTACCTAATTACCCCAGCAACTCCCATATGAATCGTTCAGCGATTCGTTTGTTCCCAAACCCCTCCATGGCGCAAAGCTAATATGTGCTGATTGGACCGATTACCCAGTCTGCGATTGGTTGGCTGCATTCAGCACGAGACAGACAGAAATGCCCACCACTGCTACAGTATGAAGTTGCAAAAAGTATGTGAGAGCCCAATGTAGTTAAACACCAGCATATTACTGTCCTCTTAAACCTAACCACAAGTAATACCAAAGACAGAGATTCAGTATTAATTCACACAGTGGCAAAAGTTGAACTATTTTGAAAATTGACCGCGGCAGGTGTGTGTAGGAACAGCTGATGGTGGCCATAGCAAAGGCAAACAGCAGAGGATCGCCAGTTCAGAAACGCATTTAAATCTGTAAAGGAAGAAGCACGCAATGTGTTTAACGTCGTTTTAGACACTACAGGTGAACAGCCCCATACAGATTTAACCTGAGAGATACTGTACAAGCACTGATCTATAATAGATATGTGATTACAAGCAGCGCAGGGCGGTTACAACTTATAACACACAAATAAATACATATTTTGCAAACTACACAAAACGAGGCAACAATTTTAATGATACTTACATGTTATAATCCGGAGTAAGAAGAAACCGGTCCATATGAACTGTAAAAGTTACTGACAAAGTCCCTGTCAAAGTCTGACAAAGTCCCATAATCTCTGCTGCTCCTTCAATAGCAAACGATCGACGAATTTCGCTCTGCAGAGTAGGTTACACTCAATAGAACGTTCCATTGCAACAGCAGCGCCCAGCAACAGACCAGCGATTCCACTATTTTAGAGTAAAAGCGATTGGCCGTCCATTGGATCTTATTGTGGTCGCGATGGCAAGCAGCTGCTTTGTTTTTTATTTATTTATTTATTTATTTATTTATTTATTTAATAAGCGCATTAAAGCTGAGATACTACTTGAAAGATGACAATACAACACTTACTATTACAATCATCAGCGCTTTTAATAGTTTATTTTACAGACTTACAATATGCTGTTGTTCTATTGGAATTTTCATTCCAAAATGACTGCCACGTGACACTAGCGGCATCTAGTGGCCGTTTCCCAAATCGCACTAGAGTGTTGCCTCTTGGTGATTCTATGCTCTTTAGTAATCGTCATCTTCGTGTCATGATCAGTCCCGTGATCCCCCGTGCCTTCGCTAGTGTGTGGAGGGAAAGTGCGTGCACATTTTGGACACAATGGAAGTACATATTTGGTGATGAATCGTATCGACGTCGATGCTATCAAACAAAAGGTCCTAACCCAACTTGATTCCTTTATTCGACTCGGAGTCAACTATTTTGCTGAAGAATCAATAGTTTTAAACATGTTGCACTTTAAGATTTTTAACCTCAGCTGGATGTTTTCATTCACCAAAAGCTGTGTTACACACTGAATGGAAGGTCATTTTCAAAAACCCATAATAGGGGCTCTTTTTAAAAAGAAGCACAACTGTATCTTCTGCAGTGCGGATCATCATTCAGGGATGTGATTCTTCTAGACAAATATGGATTTTCGGTATTTTCTGAGGTCAATGGGGCGAATCCTGTGATTTGTGTAAACCTGAAGTTTTTTTTTTTTAGTTTTTTTTCTGAGGAGGGGGGGACCCTCAAGCAGCGATTGTAGCTAGTTTTTTTATTGTAAGCTTATAAAGAATGTTTTTGCTAAATCTGTGTAAGTTGTACCGAGCACGCTTATTAGATGTGGTCAGGGTTTAATTTGTGAAATCACATGCCAATAAAAAAAATGCCCCAAGCAACAAACAGAAAGAAAAGAAAAGACAGAATAATGTAAAGCCAAATACAGAGTCGTAGTTAGGTAAGTACAAATAAATAACTATTACATCATGAGATACATAGAGTACATATAAACAGAAAAGCTGAACATTAGAAGGAAGAAACAAAGGATTTGACGATATCAAAAGCTAAAATCCAGGACTTAACAGTTTTTGACTGAGCTCCATGTATGTACGCTGTTGAAACTTCCATACAAAAAAAAAAGGGAAAGTTCCATACAAATAATGTCCAGCAAAGATAGGCCCCATTGACTTCTATTCATAATATGAGGAGGGATCCAGCGGCAGACCTTCACTGGATACGGTTATTCATTTGTTTACGTCACCGTTTCTTTTAAAGATCTAGCATTATTGTTTACATTGTTACCATGTTACTCATGGGTGAAAATGGGGTTTTTGTAGTAAAAAGCAAGGCCATATCATAGCTTACAGTGTTACAAATAAAATGAGACCACCAACTGAATGAAAAGTCAAAGTTATAGTTACTAAAATCATAAGAAAACAGTTGAGTGTTTTGAAGAGTTATTTTTATCATTATATTAAAAAAGTTTTAAATTATATTCAAATAATTTAAATTTCATAATATAATAATATATTTAATTTATTTTAATATTATTTAAAAGTAGCCAATCTGTAGCAAGGTATAGAACCTCTATATAGAAAGACAATACATATTCGTTTATGATCTAAATTTGTAATATTTCTCATTCAGATTCATTTTTTGGGTCATTTAAGTCTTGTCAGTAAATGTCTAAAATCCTCTAATGTGATCCAGGACACCATTAAAATTGAATTGTTTTTCTGAAGAACATATTTGGTCATACTTTTCAACTTACTTTACTAGCACTCATTGATGCAACTCGTTTTGTGGTTTTTCTCCATAGGTTTTATACTTGACTACGATGCCCTTTGACCCTGAGGGTGTTCTGGGAAGCATCAACTCCATATTGATGGCTTTTTTAGGTCTTCAGGTGAGTCGATAGACTTGTGTTTTCATACGCAGTACGTCTTTTAGAAGTTTTCTTTTCATATTTCTTTGTGTTTTATTGATCTTCATAGCAGCGTCAGCGATTCTCACCACCCTTTCTCTTACAGTATCAGTATCAGCAGTGCAGTCACATGCTTTATTCAAACTATTTTTGTTCTGCAGTGCTTTCAGGAATCGCATCTAATAATTGTCTTGCTGTATTGCATCTGGCTCATGGTGCTTTTGCTCTGTTCCAGGCAGGGAAAATTCTGCTGCATTACAGGGACCAACACAGGCAAATAATCACAAGATTTCTCATGTGGGGATTGATACTGGTATGAATATGATTACTGTTCATTTTATTAACATAAAAAAAGATTACTCACTATCACATGCTTTTTCTGTGATAATCATGACTAATCACATTCTTATGAGCAACATTCAACAATGGATTTATTTCTTTTTTTTTAAAGGTTCTGGTATATGGACAACTGAGGTGTTCATTATAGCAGTATTCCTTTTATTTGAAACTTTTAAAAATATCTTGTAAATCTTAAATCAAACATTAATGTAATCAAATTAATTCTAAAACAAAATCTATTTGCCACTGCAAGGGCATTTAGTAATAATTTATAATTTGAATAAGTAATCAATGGGTCGTTATATCAATGGTTCTCAGTTCCTGTCCTCGCACCACGCTGCAGAGTCCTGCTTGGGTTCTTATAGGTAAACCCCCACCCGCAATTATTTAAATAACACCTGACCCGTCAACCGACAGCAGCACTAATATCATTCCATACCCGACCCTACCCGTTTGACATACACAAGGTGACCCAAACCACACCCACATGAGACGTATATGTGCATGACATAATCATCAGTGTGACTTGTCCCTCTTGAAACCGTACAACACGCTACAAGGTAAACTAGCATCAAAGCTTAAGTGTAATGCAGGAAAGAGACCGGTAGCAGCGCCATGATGAATTTTTATTCAAGTTATGATAAGAGCATAGAGTCGAGTGCTCGCTGTCCATCAGTTGATGTGCAATTGCCTACAATGCTGCACACTGATTAAACACTGGACCCACATTCCGGCCAAGGCTGTTTGTTACCGACCCGCACCCGAACTGCAAATGACATGTGAATAATTATTCCACCTGGTACATTAAATATTAAGTTCACCCGTGGGTACCCATCTGAGTGCATGACTTCTAACCAGCTCAATATACGAGAGCTTAAATCATGAACTGTGTTCGGAATTACAGGATTTTTACACAGTATTCACTACAAATTACCCTACAAATGTGAGCATGGGGAATCTTAGCTTCAAAATGTTTATTCATGCTATTTTGAACTTTATAATTTTCAAATAATTCTGATAAAAATTATTCTGTTTAATATTAAGCTGCACAGGTGGTTCATTCCACTGTGGCGACCCCTGATAAATCAGAGACTAACTCAAAGGAAATGAATGAAAATTAAGCTGCACAACTGCTCGAAATTGATACAAGTAAAAAATATAAGTATATGTAACATCAAATCATCTTATTAAAGGGCACATATAATGAAAATCATCTTTTGGGTGCTGTTTGGACAGAACTGTGTGTAGGTATAGTGTGTCCACTGTCATACTGGAGTGATATAAAGACAATAAGTCTCTTTTTTTAAGATTTCCTGAGGTTAAAATAGGATCCAAATCAGTCCAATTTTGAAGCCCACCACAATGTGACGTAGGAGTGTGGTTTCCCCACCCACCAAATTAATTGACAGCCGCTTAATAACACGTCTCAGTAGTAACACGTATAATCATATCAACAATACAGGACATGCACAAAGCAGCTGGGATTAAAAGATCTGATCAGCTCTCTGTGATCATCAATCATCATCAAATGTGATCAAGAGCGAGTTTTACAAGTTTAAATCATTTATAAAACAGTGCATGTTTGCAATGATTTACAGTAATTTTTTTAAATTTATTTTATTTTATTTTTTATTTTATATATCGTCTTAACTTTAGCCCACAGCTGCATGTCAATACAATTATAAAAAAAAAGTTGCTTTAATCCCGGTTTGTGGACGTTAAATCAGGTTTTTTGTATATTATCCATAAAGCAGTGGATATTAACGTGCATCCTGTCACATTTGCCGTGCAGAAACAGTTCAAAGCAGAAAATTCCAATATTCTGAAAGGTATAATAATTAATCTGATGGGTGTTTTGAGCTGAAACTTTACAGACTCATTCTGTAGACACAAAAGACTTATCTTAAATCTTGAATAAGGAGTAAAATATCATCATCATTATCATATTTTCTATAGAAACAGAAAATAGCGATTAAATAGAATTTAACATATTATTATAAATAAATAAAGATCATATAATATTCCCAGAGATGGGTTGCGGCTGGAAGGGCATCCGCTGCGTAAAAACGTGCTGGATGAGTTGGCGGTTCATTCCACTGCGTCGACCCTGGATTAATAAAAGGACTAAGCCGAAAAGAAAATTAATAAATGAATGAGATCATAACACTATTTATAAATCTAAGTCAAGAGATTTTTTGCCTTTGTTTTAGCCTACATCTTTAAATGTATATTAACAAATGTGTTATGTAATATTATAACACATCTATAATAAAGATGGGCTGATGTATTTAACCAAAATAATGACAATGGTGACCAGCATTTTGTGATAAAGATGTGATTATGCATCATATTGCATGGGATTTGGCCAAATAGCTTTATAAATGGACATGAAAAACTGATTTGAATTGATATGATTTTATTGTGTGAGCAGGAATAAAGACCATAGAGAAACATTAAATTGGCACAGTCAAGTAGAAAATGAGAAAAGCGGTCATTTTCACACTGTAGGAGTCATTATGCACACATATTTCAACACATATTGCTGTGACTGACTCATAACAATCATGTGTTTCAGAAAGTTGTGTAATAATGTTTGTAATTGATATTAAGTGTGCATAATGTTATTAGGGATGCATTAGATGGGTTCTATTCATTTAACTTTTCACAGTTTCATTTTTTTTTACTGCCATCAGAAGATTCCAACACACTTTGAAAGTCATACTGTAAATCAATATTAATATACAGTATGGATTTTTTTTTTAACTGTTTACATTAAGGGGATCATCTCAGCTGTATTGACCAAGTGCTCCAGAAATGATGGCTTCATCCCTGTCAATAAAAACCTGTGGTAAACAAAGTCTCTCTCAAACATTTCTGTAGTTTTATTTGATATTACTATTAACATTACTTGGTATTGATTTTGTGGTATAAGTATATCTTTTTTAAAACATGAAAGTTTGCTCAAATGCAGTTTCATGAGCATTAAATATAAAATAATTGTGCATTTGTCTCTTGTTTTAGGTCTTTGTCGTATGTGACCACTCTCAGCTGTTTTGCTTTTGTGGCTCTGGTGTTTTTTTACTACACTGTGGATGTAAAGAAGTGGTGGTCTGGAGCTCCCTTCTTCTACCCTGGTAAGCTCAGATGTTACAAGTGTTACAATATTTCATTGTATTTGAAGTGTTGTATCAGATGCAAGTTTTTTTCCAATATGGATTTTATAAAATAAGTGTAACAAGCCATGAACTAAATCATGCAGTACATTACAAACTTTTTTCTGACAGTCTACCCTCAATTAACAACCTTAAAGCTCAGTGTTTTTGTCACTCTCTGCCTTTATTGTTTTTAGTGTGTCTATTTAAAGAAACAGTCAGCTTATTTAATAATATTGTGCAGCGCTCTGGATAAAGGCTTAATGTGTACTAGGGCAGTAAAATATCAGGGGAGAAATGTCAATTGTGATATCTTGTTTTCTGCAATATGTATTTGCAGTATAACAGTTTCATTAGATGTCTTATAGTAATCATTATAAAATATTATATTATAATTCAATTAAGGGCTGTCACAGTGATGCAGTGGGTAGCACGATCGCCTCACAGCAAAAAGGTCGCTGGGTCAGTTAGCGTTTCTGTGTGGAGTTTGCATGTTCTCCCTGTGTTTGTGTGGGTTTTCTCTGGGTGCTCTGGTTTCCAACACAGTCCAAAGACATGTGGTATAGGTGAATTGAATAAGCTGAATTGGCTGTAGTGTGTGTGTGAATCTAAGACATGTTGTGTTGCGGCTGGAAGAGTATCCGCTGCATAAAAACATATGCTGGACTAGTTGCCGGTTCATTCCGCTCTGGCGACCCCTGATTAATATAGGAAAAGAAAATGAATTAATAATTTAATTAAATACTGAATTAATTAACATAAAATTATTTAAAAGAACGAAAATGAAACAACACGTCCAAATGAAAGTGTGTTTTCCTGAAGTGACACACACAGATTGCTACAAGGAACCTCACATTCTTCATTAGACATTTCAACAATTTATTGACAAACTAAGTGCAAAAACAATTCAAAGCATGTGTATGAGCCTCACATACATTGAAAGCATGGTCATAAAAAACAGGTGGTGCATGGAATGTCACATGCACTGTATCCTGACTCATGTAAAAGCTGAAGTATACCTAAAGGGATAGTTCATCCAAAAATGAAAATGTCTTTTTCTGTTGAACCTAAAGGGATATTTTGAAGAAAGGTCCATGGTAAAATAAATACTATGAAAGTCAGTGGTTACCTGCCTTACCTTACCTTACCTTTCAGCTTATTCTATCTTATTTTGTGTCCAACAGAAGAAAGAAACTCCACAATGTCTACAGTGCTCAGCATATATAAGTACACCCCATCACAAATCTATCTTTTAAATTAATATTTTTAATAGGAAGATATACAATAATATATTTGTGCATATACATTAGATTAGTCAGTACTGAAGGCAAATCCGGAGCTTATTCAACAAAATAACTTACGACAGTGGTCCAGAAACTAGTAGACCCAATTGTATATGTCATAGAAAAACATTAAATACAAATTTAAAAAAGAGGAAAAATCAAGAGAAGCAAAAAAAAAAAGTTACAATTTAGTTAAAGTTTTGCAGGTCGTATTTTTTTTGCCAATATTTTGGTTGAGTTTAATTGTATTATCTTTCAGTTTCTAAATATGTTTGGTGACTAAAATATTATTTTTAATAAATATATCCATTTAATAAATATTTTTCGTTTAAATGCACTAAAATACATTACCTGTATTCACTGACAAATGGGTAAAAATATTTATTTTCAAAATGGGGTTGTATTGTCGTCTTTCAGGTTGTATCTCTACTTTAATGCGCTTTTTGAATAAATAAATAAAAAACAAAGTAGCTGCTTGCCATCGCGACAGTAATGAGATCCAATGGACGGCCGATCACTTTCACTCCATAATGGCGGAATCCGGGGCTGTTACTAGGCGCTGCTGTTGCAATGGAACGTTCTATTGAGTGTCGCCTCTTGGTCATTCTAAGCTCTTTGACTGTATGTCAACAATGTCTATGTTAGATCCTATACTGACCAAATTATTAAAACAATTGTTTACAGACGTTTCTGAACCCGCTCTTAAGATTTTAAATTCATCCCTACTTTTAGGATATATGCCTAAAATTTTTAAACTAGCTGTCGTTAAGCCTTTTATTAAAAAAACACAGCTTGATCCCAAATAATTAGTAAATTATAGACCTATTTCAAACCTGCCTTTTCTATCAAAGATACTAAAAAAAGTCATATCTGCTCAACTGTTACAGAGAAACAATATCTGTGAAAAATTCTAATCTGGATTTAGAGCATTTCACAGCACAGAAACAGCACTCCTATGAGTTACAAATGACCTGCAACCACGATCGGACAACAGGAGGATTTCTCTCTTAGCGTTATTGGACCTTAATGCTGCATTTGACACAATCGATCATAATATTCTCCTTGATAGGCTTAAAAATTATGTTGGTAATTAGGCATGGAATAATAGCTGTTTTTAAAGTATACCGTGGTTTGGAAAAGTCAAGGTTTCAAAACTACCAACATTTTCTGCTTTACTGTTTCTATGGTATATGTATGTTTATAGCACAGCAGTATCTCCAGCAGAAAATTGCAAGTGGTGCTCCCTGCAGAGCCATTTGGGCAAGCTGAGCTCCAGCGAGGGGGAGCTTGAGCTTGAGCTCCACCTTTTTTGCACTTCTTCTACGAGTGATGTCACTGGGGGTAGGGTTAGGGGTGGAGTTGGTGTACGCATTAAAACAGCTTACAGGAGGCAAAGCAAGCGCTCATGCTCCCCTCGCTGGAGCTCAGCTCTGCTCAAATGGCTCTGCAGCGAGCACCCTCTCGAAAATTGTAATGAAATCTGTGCTTTTGAAACTAATGAAGACAGCAGAAGTCAATGATTCATTCAAATTATTTAGCCTGACATGTTTACTGTGCCAAAATATTTTAAAATTTCTCAAAATAAAAAGTTGTGTTCAGATGGTTGAGTTCTGATATCAACCCAATTTTCATTTCCAAACAAAATGGAATGTTCCCATGACGTTGGGGTATAATGTCAATCTGATGTCATGTTGACGTCTTGTGCCTGCTGGGTTTAAGGCCATTTCAGTCATCATACAGTAAACATCCGTCATCTTCTCATCAGTGACCTGCATCTAAACGATCATCTTCTTGGACCCTTATAATGCTTGCAAACAGTTTGCTGCAATTATAAATCGTCCAAACATGTTAGTGACATGTGAAGCGTGAGTAAGTCATGACAGCATTTTTAGCTTTGGATAAAATGTCTCTTTAACAAGCCTTAGTACTCAAAGGTGCAATGCTGTCACCTTTAATAACCAGTGCTATTAGGTCGTTATTTTTATTCAGGTACCTAACAATAATCTTGCTGACATTTAAACAAAGTTTACCAAAAAAAGGACAAAACTGACTATAGGAAAATGCTGTTAAAGTTAATTAGTGCTATTGTGCATACTTGCATTTTTAAGCAATTTTTTTCTCCCTCAGGTATGAATTCCATCTTGGTGTATGTGGGTCATGAAGTGTTTGAGGAATATTTCCCATTTCGCTGGAAAATGGCCAACAGCCAATCACACACAGAGCACCTGGCACAAAACCTGCTGGCCACCTCCATATGGGTGTTCATAGCCTTCCTGCTCTACAGGAAGAAGATCTTCTGGAAGATTTGAAGGTGAAATTCCTGTTCTGCTGAACTTAAGACCGGTTCATCTTTGTGAAAAAAAATTTTTTTTTTTTTTGGGTGCCTATTTTTAGATGTAGAAAAATCAGCAGATCTCTGAACATCTGTGCAGAGACAAAAAAAAACTCACACATGGTCCAGGAATAGAACTTGGCTATTATTTGAGAAGAGCAGAAGGAAGAAGAGGAAAGAAGAGCATGTGGCTGTGCCAGTATGTACCTCTGTGGACTCAACTAAGCCCTTAGAATGAATGCCAAGATGCTAAGGGCAGATTCTGCCAAATTTCCCATTCAGGCTATTGGTTTGAGGGTAATTAATAATGTTTTGAAGCAGAGCGAGGCATTATGTTTGATTATGAAATCAGCTCCTAAATGATGATATTGGACAGTTCTGAAAGTCTAATTTGATTAATATAGTCATGAATCTGAAAGCAAATGAGTGAGATAAACAAAGTCTTCCTTCACTGTAAAAAAAGCAGGGTTCCACATCATTCCTTCATGTTGCCACAACACAAATCAATCAAGCTAACTTAATTGTTTTATAAATTTAAGTGGGTTAAACATAAAACAAATAAGTTGTCCCAAAAAAACCTTAAGAATTGTGTTGTTTCAATTTATTTAAATATATAGCTTAAAAAGAAAAAAAGGAGCAAAAATCTTTCTATTCTATATTGTAAATAATGATTAGCTAATTAAAGCAAGTAAACTGATTGCCTTAAAAGCGACAAGCTGACTTCACTAAAATAAAGTAAACCCATTGTAACTTGGAACTGTTAAGTTGGCTTAATTTTTATAATTATGCTAATTGTACTCTTTTTTTTTTTTTAAATAAAAGTAAACTAATCACCTTTTTCCAATACACCGTTACTGGTTAAACTTAGGACCAAGGAGGAACAATGCGGTTTTCGTCCAGGCCGTGGTACACTGGACCAGCTCTAAACCCTCACTAGAGTGCTCAAGGGTTCGTGGGATTATGCCCAACCAGTCTACATGTGTTTAATGGACTTGGAGAAAGTATTCGACCATGGCCCTCGTGGCATTCTGTGGAGGGTGCTCTGGTAGTATGGGGTCAGAGGCGCTCTGTTAAAGCTGCGTCTCGTCACCTGTATGAACATTGTAGGAGTTTGCTTCACATTGCCGGCAGTAAGTCAGACTTGTTTCCAGTGCATGTTGGACTCGGGCAGAGCTGCCCTTTGACACCAATTCTGTTCATAATTTTTATGGACAGAATTTTAAGGAGCACCCTTGGGCTGGAGGGGTCCGGTTCGAGGACCACATGATTTCATCTCTGTTAACTGCAGATGATGTTGTTCTGTTAGCTTCATCGAACATGGACCTTCAGCATGCACTGGGGCGGTTTGCTTTCAAGTGTGATGCAGTTGGGATAAGAATCAGCACCTCCAAGTCCGAGGACATGGTGCTCCACTATAAAAAGGTCCAGGTTAGAAGAGAGTCCTTAGCCCCGGTGGAGGAGTTCAAGTGTGTTGGGGTTTTGTTCACGAGTGAGGGAAGGGTGTAACGTGAGGTTAAAAGGTCGATGTACTGGTCCATTGTGGTAAAGAAGGAGCCGAGCCGAAAGGCAAAGCTCTTGATTTACTGGTCAATCTACGTTCCTACTCTCACCTATGGTCATGAGCTTTGGATCATGACCGAAGAGACAAGATCTCAGATACAAGCTGCAATTGCAGGGTGGCAGGGTGCACCCTTATAGATAGCATCTGTTTCAGATGCCTCTTGGGCGCCTGCCTGTGTATACTCCTATATTATTATTTATTTATTATTTTTTAAATTTATTTCTTGCTTTTCTGTATCTAGCAAAATGACATACAGTAAAATAAATCTGCTCTTTCAGTGTGTGTTCTATATTAAATTCAGGTTATAATTATAGATTTTATAGACTTAATGAAGCACCAAATATTTAAAAACAGACCAGCTTAAATAGTCTGACACTGTAAAAAGGGATTAGTTGACTTAAAAAAGTAAATACAACTAGCATAATTATAAAAGTTAAGTCAACTTAACAGTTCCAAGTTACAATTTTTGTAAAGTCAACTTGTTGCTTTTAGGGCAATTGATTTAAGCTGCGGTCACACTAGAGTTTGTGTGTGTGAAATTCTAGTGTACGGCGTTGCAAAAAGGGGCAGGATTAAACAAGATTATTAGACATTCAAAAAGGGAGCGATTGCTCCATGTTTTAAATTTCTGTCCAGAGAGGTCATGTTTTGATCCTCGATTGGTCTCACGCAGTCAAGTGATGCGATTTCGCAGGTCAGAGTTCACCAAGCTTGAACTTTGCACTGCAGCGATCTGCGAGACTGAATGCATGACCCTGCGTTTCCGGTCTGACGCATTCGCTAGCTTATGAATGGATGTCTACGGGGAGAAAAGTCAAATGTGACCGCAGCTTTACTTGCTTTTAGTAACTAATCACTTTTTACAGTGCAGGTCTGAAAAATCTGCTGAATTATCTAATAGTAATGTATAATGATATTATACAGTCAGTTTTAGGTTTCATTTTTAATATAACGTAAGCTCTGGGATTGTGTTGTTATACTTTTTGATTTTCAATGGCCTCTGCCTTTATTAATTTTTTGTACTGTGGTTTCATTCTTTATAGCTTAAGATGAAAGTATTATGGTTAAAGAAGGAGTGTCTTGCTGTTTCAAAAACTCAGGAGATTTGCACAATGTTTGAGTGTCAAATACAATGCTTTCTCTGATAAAACAAGGTCCTTTTTTGCAGTTTACCAGTAACCTGTTACCTCTACCATGTACAGCAAATGTTAAATAAAGTATATTAAGATACTCATCACGGACACATACTGTACGCATTGCTGCTTGAAAAAAAAAAAATTGTTTCAAGGTGAAGGGAAAATATTGATCCAACATATTTGTTGCCAACTCGCAAAGTCAATTTCATCTTTGTGATGGATAATTGAAATTTCTGAGATGCATGAACAACATTTCTTTGTGTATATTTTTGTTTTTATACTCTTCAACATGAGATGTGGTGAAAATAAACCCTTTTTTTACCATTATATCTCATCTTTTTCTTTTGATCATGACATTGATGAGCGGAGCGGATCATGGAACCAGGAGTCTCATCCTGGCTTTCTATGGGTTTATTTTAAAAGGAGACATGTTTGAAAGCAGAGTGCAATTATAATGGACAATTGTATAAATTCTACACTCACCGACCACTTTTTTAGGTACACCTTATTAGTACCGGGTTGGACCCACTCTTGCCTTCAGAACTGCCTTAATGCTTTGTGGCATAGATTCAACAAGGTACTGGAAATATTAATCTGAGACTTTGCTCCACATTGACATGATAGCATCACACAGTTGCTTCAGATTTGTAGGCTGCACATCCATATTCTGAATCTCCCGTTCCACCACATCTCAAAAGAGCTCTTGAATTGAGATCTGGTGACTGTGGAGGCCATTTAAGTACAGTAAACTCATTGTCGTGTTCAAGAAATCAGTCTAAGATGATTTACACTTTATTACATGGCGCGTTATCCTGCTGGAAGTAGCCATCTGCTTTCGCTACAGCATGATCGCCTCACAGCAACAAGTTGGCTGGCTTGAGCAGTTACATTTTCTGTCCGGAGTTTGCATGTTCTCCTTGTGTTTGCGTGGGTTTCCTCCGGGTGGTCCGGTTTCACCCACACTCCAAAGACATGCGCTATAGGGGAATTGAATAAGTTAAATTGGCCGTAGTGTATGTGTGTGAATGTAAGAGTGTATGGGTGTTTCCCAGTGTTGGGTTGCAGATGGAAGGGCATCTGCTGCGTAAAACATATGCTGGATAAGTTGGCGGTTTATTCCACTGTGGCGACCCTAGATTGATAAAGGGACTAAGCCGAAAAGAAAATGAATGAATGAATTTCTCTAGATTTCTGATTTGACTTTAAACCCAGTATTGCTTATAGATTATGGAGGAGGAAAACCTGCAAAAACAATAAATAAATAAATAAATACGCACAATATACAAATAAATTAGTAAATAAATTCATTCATCCTGCATAAAAAATATAATAAATAAATATGCAAATAAATGAATATATGTAATAATCTACAAATTACTGCATAAATAATTAGATAATTAATTAATAGTGTGGAGAGGTAAATAAATAAACGACACAAATGTTGGGGGAAAAGAAAAATTCTTAACTGGAAGTTTACCACCCCGCCGACCCATGACCCCCCTACATTCATTCTTGTTCGTAGTTGCACGTTTACTTTGTCTCAGCTCATTATGCTAATGAGAGGGTGTTTGTCAATCATCAGAATATGGTCTTTATTCCATCATGGGTTGATCGTTAGAAATATTTAGCATTCTTTTATTTTTATTTATTTTTACTGGCTTCTGAAGATTGACAGACAGCCTCTCATTAGCATGTTGACCTCAAAAGTAAATATGCAACTATAGTTAAGAATAAATAAACGTTTAAAAGGGGGGGGGAATGTAATTCATTTAATTATTTACTTGCCGGCAGGATAATTTTTCATATATTTATTTGTGCTGAAATTTGTGTTTTTTTTTATACATTCATTCATTTTCTTTATTCGGCTTAGTCCCTTTATTAATCTGGGGTCGCCACAGCGGAATGAATCGCCAACTTATCTAGCACGTTTTTACGCAGCGGATGCCCTTCCATGTAGATTTTTTTAATATACATTTATTTATTGATTTTTAAATAATTATTTATTGTTTATTTATGCAGAATTTATGGATTTATTTACTCATTTATTTATATATTTACATATATATTTATAGTCAAGATAATATTAAAATGGAAACATTTATAACAATAGAATAGATGTGAACTAAAAGTATGTTAAAAATGAATATGATAATATTTTTTTGGTGATGGGGAGGGTATGGGGTACTGCGATGGCACAGTAGATAGCGCTGACGCCTCACAGTGAGAAGGTTGCTGGTTCGAGCCTCGGCTGGTCAGTTGCCGTTTCTGTGTGGAGTTTGCATGTTCTCCCCATGATTATGTGGGTTTCCTCTGGGTGCTGCAGTTTCCCCCACAGTCCAAAGACATCTGCTATAAGTGAATTGGGTAAGCTAAATTGTCTGTATGGGTTTTTCCCTGGGATGGGTTGCGGCTGGAAGGGCATCTGCTGCATAAAACATAGACTGGATAATGAATTGGTGGTTCATTCCGCTGTGGCGACTCCTAGATAAATAAAGGCACTAAGCCGAAAAGAAAATGAATCAATTAATACATTTTTGGGGGTCAAAGCTTACTTTACCTCAAGAATGGGATGGGTGTGGAATAATTTCTGACTAATATTAAAAACGCCGTCATTTTTCACAGCCTCTTTTGCCCAATCTATAAATCGCTTCTGCGCCTTTAAGAGACCTGTCTGAATGTACTGGTAAATAGTGCGCATGCTTGAAAATAGAGGAAGTCGGTAATGGTGACGGATGATGTGGACGTGAAACGGTTGAGAGCATCAGCGTGTCTTCAAGGAAGAGGAAAAAAAACATATAAACTCTTTAAGACGGACTCACGGATATGACGCGGGTATTTTGAGAGGTGTCTGAGTTTCTCTGGACACAGACCGAACACGCACTGTCCACGATGATGGCAGAATGCGACCCCACCGACGGCGAGCCGGGGAACGGCAGCGGAGATTCAACACCGGAGACGAACTTTCTCTCTTCGGAGGTGCCGGCTGTGTTATTTGAAAAAACCCGGTCGGCACCGTCGTTGGGACTCTCGTTGAGCCCCGGAGCAGCTGTCCGGATTTCGGACTCGACGGAAAGCGTGTTGACGGAGCTGGAAGCTGACGGGTCCGGCGAAGAGGCGCTCCTGTTACCGGGACCAGCCGGGAGCCTCTCACCTCGAGCTGGAAAAGAGAAAAGGACCCGGAGGAACATGCTCAGCTCATCATCCGATAATCTAGCATCTCCAGGTGAGATGTATGAGCTGGATATCCTAATCTCATAAACTGATTAACATACATTCTGCCTCAAGCTAGGTGTCTTTACGCACTTCCACACCTTTTGTTTTGCTTCCCTAACAAAAAGCATTATATCGAGGTATAGAATTGCAAATAACACGGTTCGTTACTTGCGTTACTTTTAACACAACACCATTCACATAATAGTTATTTATTAAATCTCTCACTTTTGACCACGCCTTTAAGTAAAGTCACCCCTCTTAAATGACAGCCACTTTTCTTCACTTGTTGTTTCGTTTTTTAATCTGAATTCAGTCAAGGAAGAACACTAGAGACCCTTCTGCATTAGTTTCCATAGCAACCACCCTTCTTCTGTTTTCTGTAGCATGCAGCTTCAAAAAAACAAACAACTTAAAAGCTCATCATTTACCTTGGGGAAGTTTTTTTTCAGAGATTGGAGTGCTTTTGCCATGTTTAATAGCATTTAAAGGCAGCATTGGCTGAGAAATGAAAATTCTCTTGAGTTTGGTCATTTGAGTGATGCTGCACCACACAGGTGTGAGTAACTGTTTTTATTAAGTGTTTGCTGTTCATCATGTCCACAATTTACCACACATATTCAGATGGTCAAAACGGGAGAGAAAATAACCAATTACTAGGGCCAGACAGAATCTGCTGACATTTTTTTTTTTTTTTTACTATTTCTGTCGAGAATTTTGTAAAAAAAAATAGCTGATTTATGCTGAATTATTAAGTATCGTAACTAAAAACATTATATATGAAGTAAAAAAAAAAGCTTTTTAACTTTTTTTTATTTAATGTTAAAAATGCAAATCCATCTAGATGCACTTATTAGGTAAACAAAGCAAGTCTCATATATTATCTTTACTAAAAGACAGAAACTATTACTTTAAAAACTGTAGTGTAAATAAATCCAATGAGCACTTTCATATTAGTCAATATTATTTCTGAAATTAGTTTAAAACTGAATAAATATAAATTTACGCAAATCAACACAGGTAAAAAATAGACTCAATGATGGACTAAAAATCTGCGGATTAGGTCTACCTGTTACTTGCGAATTATGACGTTGATTTATGTTTTTAAAAAAAATAAGTTTTGTGATGGAACTTTTTCAGAGAGAGGAGTGATTTAGCAATGTTTAATACCATTTAAAGGCATCATGGACTGAGAAATTAAAATTCCTTTGAGTTTGGTCATTTGAGCAATGTTTCACCACGCAGGTGTGAGTAACTGTTTTTATTAAGTGTTTGCTATTCATCATGTCCAAAATTTACCACACATATTCAGATGGTCAGAACGGGAGAAAAAATAACCAATTACTATGGCCAGACAGAATCTGCTGATATTTTTTGCTATTTTTGCCGAGAATTTTGTAAAAAAAAAATCTGCGGATTTATGCTGAATTATTTTGGAAGTATCGTAACTAAAAATGTAATATATGAAATAATAATAGCTTTTTAACTTTTAATATTTTAATACAAATCCATCTACATTCACTTATTTGGTAAACAAAGCAAGTCTCTCATGATATATATAAATAAATAAATTATTACTTTATAAGCTGTATTTTAAATAAATCAAATGAACACTTTGATATTAGTCAATATTATTACACAAATTAATTTAAAAACTGAATAAATATAAATGTACACACATTTGCACAAGTAAATAAATACTCAATGATGGGCTAAAAATTTGCAAATTGGGCCTACCTATTACTATAATCATACTATGATCATTATATTGATGATTGACAATTATATATTGATATTATAAATTGATTAAAGTTTTGCTAAAGTAAAGATCAAATGCTTAATATAATTATTTGGCTATCACAACCATGTGTAATCTAATAGGAGCTGTAGAGAAATTCTTATTTAAAACATTGTAACATTGTCTTTACATATGCCTGTGAGCCCCTTCTTGGGATCCTTTTGCACACAAATGTTGTCTGTGTGTAAACTGATCATTCTCCAGAGAATTTAAGCAATATGTTATGCACACAGACTTTTCATTTCAGTCAGCCAGCCAGCCCCAGGGCTTCCGGTGAATTGTCATCCCATACATTGTTTATCCAAATGGTACTTGTGCTAATCCTGGATCCTGCATGTGGGGTAGTCCCAGAATTGGGAGCTTAGTTTGTCCTGTATCCCTCAACCAAAGAAGGGTCTTTTATGTAGACTTTGTCTGTAGCCCTGAAATTACAATACCAAAAAATAATAATAAAATCTAATTATTAAAACTATATGTACACTCACCAGACACTTTATTAGGTACACCTTACTAGTACTGGGTTACCCCTTTTTGCCTTGAGAACTGCCTTAATCACACAAGGCATAGATTCAACAAGGTACTACAAAGATTACTCAGAAATTTTGGTCCCTGGCTGCACATCCATGATGTGAATCTCCCATTCCACCAGATGTCAAAGGTGTTCCAATGGATTGAGTACAATTAAATTACTTAACTCATTGTCATCCTCAGGAAACCAGTCTGAGATGATTCATGGATTATGACATGGTGTGTTATCCTGCCGGAAGTAGCCATCAGAAGATTGGTACACTGTGGTCATAAAGGGATGGTCATGGTCAGCAACAATACTCTGGTAGGCTGTGGTGTTGACATGATGCTCAATTGATGCTAAGCCCCAAAGTGTGGCAAATAAATATTCCCCACATCATTACGCCACCACCACCAGCATGAACCGTTGATAAAAGGCAGTATGAATCCATGCTTTCATGTTGTTGATGCCAAATTCTGACCTGACCATCCCAATATCGCAGCAGAAAATTTAAATTGAGACTCATCAGACCAGGCAACATTTTTTCTAGTGTCCACTTTTGTTGAGCCTGTGCTAATTTAGCTTTATATGACAGCAATGTATCATCAGGGTTAAGCTTGTTTTGACATTTAGTGAATCACCAAGAACCCCAGTTTCAGCTCAAAATCTTCTCAAATGATTTACTAAAGAAATATTGGATGGTGAATAACTTAATTAGCAGCAAATATTTGGGCAGAGTTCTTTTATGTATAAAAAAATCATTCCACTCCCACGTGTCTTGCACTCTGTGCTGTTACTCCATCTGCTTTATCTCAGAACATGGACCGTTATGCAACCTTTTTCACAGTTCAGTTTACATGGCCTTTAAACCCGGGGCACACGTGTACAGGTGACACCAAAGCAGCTGCTGGGTGATACAGATGCAAGGCTGTTGCTGTGTGCTGCTGCTGCATGTGTTTTTACCTTTTCTTATAATGCGTCTGTTTAATAGCAGGCTCATATGAAGATGGATTAGTTGGACAGCAGAAAGACTTCCATTTTCTTTATCAGATCCATATCACAGTACAAAAGAAAAACAGAAGTTCTTACAAAATTAGCTTTTCCATTGTTTAGTTTGAAAAAAGATATTACATGTAGATTGGCAATAGATGTGCTATTTACTTAATTACTTTTTTCTATTTGTGATTTGTGTGTTTTCTAATTCTCTCTTAGGCAAGTGCTGGTAAAAGATTCTGATGGTATTGCAGCCTCATTTACCTTAAAAATATCACGGTATTGGTAAAAAAAAACACTAACTTATTTCCCATTGAACACACTATTTTATTTTAAGAAACACTTAAAATAATTTGGAAAAGTAAACTTGTCCCGATAATTAATCTTAATCTCCTGTCTTCATTAGTCTAAAAAACACTTTCTAACTTTCTGAAAGCATCATTGGATAGCTTTGAATTATCTGTATAATGTAACCCACTGCACTGTTCAGGTTCAGAGCATGCTTGGATGTTGGTGCATAAGCGATTTGTTTTTCAAATGTTTGCTGAATCATGGGCTGACCAGTAGCTTTTGATGTGTCCTTTGCTTTTGACATTCTGTTGCCATAAAAAAAAAAAAAATAAAATGGTTTTTGACAACAACAACTCAGTCTTACATACATCACAGGAATGGTATAACAGAACACATCAGCAATTTTGAAGCCGACTTTTTTCAAACCACATTAAGCCTTGAAACTAGTTATCATAGGTTATTTTTCTGTGCAAGACATGCAAATAGAACATTTTATTAAAACAAATAAGGGTTGTGTACTTTTTTTTTTTTTAACTGGTGTTAAATCAGGTCATTTTATTGACCTTATTCTTCAATGCTGAAGTGCGCTTGTTTTTGCGATTTGTTTTAGAACTTTTAAGTTTCCTATGGGAGAAATGTGACTAGGAATAATAAACTGCAGAAAGCAGTCAAACTACTTGCTCTACAAACAAGTCTGTTCATGATTAGTGAGACAAAGCTTAATTTAAAAAAATTATAAAAATCAGTTTGCAACAACGAGCAGCAAAATGTTTTTAACGTTTAAAAATGAACTGAAGTGAATGAGATCGAAAGTCTCAAGCCAAAAAGATTCCAATATGATTATTTCACCTGGCCACCATTTAAAAAAAACGAAATCAGACAATTTTGATCAGACGATCATCATCAAGAGGATGATAATGTGTTGAACGGCCATAAATGAGGTTGGTTTTGTGGTCACATTGCTTTCAAGTGAGCATGCGCATTATATCGGGTAACTAGAAAATATGCAGACTTTGTTTGATTCGGATGTTTAGAAAGGAAACCTATGAGACCGATGTTGTTCAATTTTATTTGTGGTTCCAAATATGTAATGTAATTGTAAGTTTGGCAAACAGTTTTGGAGAATTTGATGTTTCCTCATTCAGGATGCCCGAGCATACTGTCCGAGAGGTGTTTTAAAGATGGGCTGCCAAGTGAAATGACTTGCCTTATAGCAGGCATGACCAACCCTGTTCCTGGAGATCGACCTTTCTGCAGATTTCAGTTGCAACCCATGTCAAACACACCTGCCTGTAATTATCAAGTGCTGTTGAGGTCCTAATCAATTGGTTCAGGTGTGTTTGATCAGGGTTGGAGCTGAACTTTGCAGGAAGGTCGATCTCCAGGAACAGGGTTGAGCACCACTGCCTTAGAGGGACTTTGGTTGAACTGAGTATTATTTGTGTTATCTAGCAAAATATGAGCTGCAGCAGGCAGTTAAAATGTGAGGTGTGCAGGGCGCATAAGCAGCGTGCAAAACACTTGCTGCCATTAGTTAATCATTCAAAAAAGGCTCCTCGCAACGCAAAAACTTCATTTGGTGTGATTGGCCCTCATAAAGCAAAGTCAGAATTGGATTCTTACAAACCAGCAAAAAATTTAGCATTTTTTTATTATTTTATTATTTTATTTATTTAATGTTTTTTAATATTCTGACCCATTTTTATTACTCTTTAATGTCCTCAATTTTAACAGTAGTTCATTTATACGCCTGATTTCATACCTTCTAAGGGCATATACTCGCACTACTCTATCTGAACTGTGCCCAGGCCCGTTTCCCGGATCGTTTGAGAAGTGTGAGTGCTCTAAATCGGGCTCAGGCATGGTTCACTTGGCCAGCCCTGGCCCGGTTGGAAGAGGTATGCAAGAGCGCGGTTCACTTGGGCTCTGTTATGGTACGCTTGTAGTGTGAGTGCAAAGCGCGTCAGAGCTTGAAACTGAAGACGAGAAGTGACTTTTACGGGATTGTTTCATATGGATTTATTAATCATTCTTACTGTTCTATGAACGCAAACTGTCGTATATCATTAAAGACGGAAAACCCCTCACTGCACGACAGCTGCACTTTCAGCAAACCTCCTAAAACCTGCAGCATAAGGACTTTATGGTTGTTTATGAGCTTCAAAAGTGGCTGATCTGTTCGGTGAAATTTCACTGCGTTTCACTGCGTCAAACGACTAAACTGATATAAATAAAGAAATCTCCACTGTGCTGAACGAGAGCGCTTACAGCGCATCATCGATGAGGTAAGCTTGCCAAGGCCTGAATGTAATGTGAGTGCGGGCCATCGGGGGAGACGGGAGAGGGGGCAAGTGTGCTTTACCCTGGTTCAAGGCAACTGTGCATAGTGTGAGTACGCCCTAAGTCAACAAAATAAAGCAAAACAAAAAAATAAATATAAAAAAAAAAAAAAACTTGATCCAGTAAAAACTAGTCACATAAACCTACATAAAAACTGATGTCCTTGCAGAAATTTGACACATTTCATGATGGAACAAAGAGATATAATTAGTAAAATCTAAAGCTGGTCACATAACACTTAAAAAGTAGTATTTGAATTGAGAACAAACAGAAGTGTAGTGCCATTACACAGACCTGAGTCTAATAGAAATGGGGAAATATGGGTGTTGCATTCAAAAATGTAAGATGACTAAATACTTCTATTGAAATTTTTATCAGAAGTTTAAAATTATGATAATTGTTATAAATAACATCCAGATATGTTTTGTAAGGCGTGTTTGTATTAGTGTATATATTTGCCAGCGAAGGAAAGTGTGCTTGTCTTCTCCTAAATGTTTAATGGCCATCAGAGAGGTTGTGTCCGTCTCTGCCTAATGGACTCTTCGATTTACCAAGGGAGAGCTGCCCAGAGACCATCAGCTGAGTGTTTGCATGTGTTTTACATTTTGATGCCTTGATGACCACTTAGTTTTACTGTGGACTGTGCATTTAGTGTACTGGACTTTTAAAAAGGGAAATTTTGGTGAAATAGAATCCTCCTTGGGTATAGGTGTCATGTGACGTGATTGCATGTTAGGGTTTGTTCACACTGGTTTTTATACGTGATCTTCAGTACTTACCGTCTCCGCTGTCTGTTATCTGAATCTGCTGCATCAGTTGCTATAGTAATAATGTGTGCATTTCCGAGATACCGCAAGGCTCTCTTTCAACAGCTGAGAGAGAGTGTCAAACCACTTACGGATGTGGCTTCTTACAGGTTTTCAAACACTGTTTTTTTTTGTGGTTTCAGACTACAATATTTCAGTTGCAGATGGTTCTTTCGTTCTTTCTAAAAGAAGCTTTGTTGTCTGTGTAGTTTTTGTGGTCTAAGGTACTTGTGTAGTTTACAGTGTTAATAACAGACATTCAGGCCCTCTGTAATAAACGGGATCATCTGATGTGATCATCAGCTGCCTCTACCCAGATCACATGAGTGTGTGACTTATGTAAAATGATGTACACTGTAAATAGTGATTATACTTGACTTTAAAAGTGAATAAACAAACACATCACCTTGAAAGCAACACATTGGTTTTAGTTAGAAAAAATCAGCAAACCCATTGACTTAACTTTTATAATTATGGACATGGTTTTCTCAATAATTATAAGGCACCGAGTTTACTCCAAAGGTGCAGTATGCAAGTTGACACCCAGTGATTGAACTAGGTATTGCTCCCCTGGTTCAAAACATGGAAGAGCAGGTTGCCAGATTGACAACACCAAAAAGGCTGATTTAAATCATGCTCTGAATAAAAGCAATGGCACACAATAGAAGTAATATTTTCCATATTAAAATGAGTTTTTGTCCTAACCAACACCTAAAGTTTATATTTTAGAAACAGCTTCTGTTTCTTGCAGCTGAACAACAGAAACTGACAATGATCTCCTCAGATGCACCTCATGTGCTTTCAGTGTTGGATGCTAATAGTGTGAGTTTGAATGCCATTTTACAAGGCATTTATTGCCAAAGCAGCAGCAGATAGTTTACAATAAAATAAACTGTTTGAAATTGAGCTTTAGAACTGACTCTGTGCAAGCCAACGCATTTCAGTGGTTCAGCATGCTTGTTTATTAAAGTTACAGAGGTTTAATATGTATTAATTTGATTATAAACCTTACCATTTCATTGGAGTGCAGTAGGTGCACTATTCTGTGCTTCCGAATGGCTGTATTTAATATTCTGTCGTGTTTCGTCTGGTGCAAACAGCCCAATTGATTATTACAGCACATCTTGTCATGTAGCACGTTGTTAGGACATTAGGGTACAATGTATCCTGTAATGGTTACATTTGTAATATGTATGTTATTTGCCAATCAATTACTACCTTATATGGAATCTGCATCTTAGTTTGGAGGCTGTACTGTCCACCAGAGGTCACATTTTCAGTTTTGGTCACATGGTTTGAGAGCCTTCAGGACTAAATGTATCACATGAAGGCAACCCGAGTGCTGAAATATAATTGGCTAAACTGGCATTGGGCGTGTTAAATGACTAAAACGAAGACAGAAACTATGAAATGTCTATAATTATAAATAAATAAGAAACTGGATAAAAATTCTCAGTTTGTCTAGATGTACTGGATTTGTTATAAGTATGGTTTTGAGTAAATGTATTTGTGTTTAAATTAGCATTTTTTTTTTTACGTTTCAAATAAATATGTTGTCATTTACACCAGGTGTTCCCAAACGTTTTAGCCCACGACCCCCAAAATAACAATGCCATTGACTCACGACCCCCAAATTCTTTGGAGGTGGTTATAAATATACAAATGTTGCCCACACAACAATAGGCCTATATAAATACAACCATATTGACAACAAAAAAGTGCAACAGTCTAACAGCCATAGAGTTTTTTTATAGTCATTTATTAATTGTTTTAATTTAATTTTAACCTCACCTAATGAGTCTGGTGGACACAATGTTTTCAGCACAACTCTATTCTTGATTTAATTTTGGAGACCATCAATCAGAGTTCATCCTCAGCGTTCAGTTGTGGCCTGTATTTATTTTTAATGTATTTGATTGCTATAAAGAGGTTTAACCTAGTGATATAAAATCTTAAATAATTGAAAGGCTGATGGCTTTCATGGTTTGCATGATGATTTTTTTAATGGAACTATTAACTATTTTTATCTTCTGTGGTTCATGGATAAAATATGTTAATTCTAATAGTTTAATGAAATTAAATTAAAATAATAAAAAAGAGAGACAGAAACATGCTTTAATATATATTCAAGTCAGCTCTTTAAAATGCATTTACAGAATTAACAATAAAAATTTCAGCTTTGTTATTTCAGCTTTTTGTTTTTAGCTTGCTCAGATATTATAGGCTATTAGCTGTGTTCTGTTTAGTTAGCTTTTTTTCATCAATTTTCCAAAAATAATTATAAGAACCCACATTTAAGTTGACAGTTTGTAGTACAGCAAATGCAGTTTTAGCATTTAGATGAGTCACTGCTATTGAACCTTTCATCAAGCGTCTATTTTTTTCAGCTTTTTTTGTACTTCAGATATTCCCAGTGCTCTTTTAATTTCTCATTTTGAAAGCTGGTTTGCAGACAGAGCTGAAGCGTTTGACTAAATTGCATGCTCACCAGTGATTCAACTTTAAAACTTGGATTTCGTTCAATTTTGTTCCACATAAAAATGGCCTTGAGCATGAATTTCGCTCTGATGGAAAATATTAAAAGAAAATCATTCCCCGTACGGCCTGCTGTATGGCCTTTTGAGATGAGGGTGCTTATGTTACATACATATGCATGCGCACAAGCTATGTATTTGCAGCACAGTGCATTTAAATCACGTTGTGTTTGTGCATATAGGTAATAGCAGTGGAGAATTCAACCATTTCCCAGAAGACCCAGAGTTCGGGGAGATTATCCAGAGGGCCGAACAGGCCATAGAAAACGGCGTCTTTCCTGAACGCATCTCACAAGGATCTAGTGGAAGTTACTTTGTCAAGGATCCTAAAGGGGTACGTGTTCTTTACTGTGAAGTGTTCAGATTGTCCCTAAGAAAACTTGTTTAGGATTAAGTGTCTAAAATTAGCATTTTCTGTGCCAATTAATAGATTATTTCATTACCTTTAAAGTGAGAAAACTGAAGATGAGCATAGGAGGCTGCGAAAAATGCAAATTGTAGGAGAAAATTTAGATGGCACTTGGAGGTTTTTGCATCTGATGTCTTCACATACAACAGAGAAACAGAAATATTGACTATAGCAAGTTCCTTCTAAACATAATATATATAGATTAGGATGACTTGGTAGGTTTATAATGAGCACTATGCATGCACATCACGTTATTGTGCAGTTTACATGCAGCATCATGCTTTCGTGTTCACTGTTAGATTATGTATGCATGATCAGCTCTCACAACACAACCCTATTAATGCATGAACATGTAACGTTTAGATTCTTTTTTTTTCACAAAACATTTTATAATATAAATCATAGTGGCTGTGTTTATATCAAGCTGTCTCACAATGTGAGTTTTCCTGACGCCTATATCTTCTCTCATTTAGAAAATCATTGGGGTATTCAAACCAAAATCAGAGGAGCCTTATGGTCACTTAAACCCAAAATGGACCAAATACTTCCATAAGGTTTGCTGCCCGTGCTGTTTTGGCCGTGGCTGCCTCATTCCCAATCAGGGCTACCTCTCTGAGGCAGCTGCCTCCCTTGTGGACCAAAAACTGGGTTTGTGGATTGTACCCAAAACTAAGGTGAGGATCAGCTTTACAGACATATTTAAAGAAACCTTATGAAAAAAACGTTTTGCTCTTAGGCAATGTTTACAGAATAATGATGTAGCAAAAAACGGAGAAGTTTTGCCTTTACACAACTATGTTTTTAAAATTATCAGCTTTCCAGGGTTCCTATGCTTCTTGAATGGGGATGCAACCGTTACCCGATTTCACTGTTAACCTTGCTTTAATTCGTCACTGTTAATTAATCGTAAAGGTTGCTCAACACCACGGAATAAAACTGCTGGAACTAAAAGTTTTGCCAACTGTGCACTAGTTTGAAGGTCCGAGGTTTGTACACCGAGGTTTATACCCACACATGCACTCTGGATTAAGTATAGCTGAGCTGAGGCAGTTAACTAAGGGCCATTCACGTATTGCGTCTTTTACGCATGCAAGTTCGTTATTTCCAATGGAGGCGTGCGGCTTGCATGGTCCTATTGGGCGTGAGGCGTGAGCACTCTCAGTTTCCATGCGCACCTAGTTGAAAGAATGCCATGAGCGCACCTCAAGTCACTTGACAAGAATTGGACTGATCGGCTTTATACTTTGTATGTAATATACACATTTCTACTTCAAAGATAGAAAGAAAATTACAAAATGTAAAATACCAAACAGTTTAGTAATATAGGGGGCTGCTCTGTGGCACAGTTGGTAGCGCTGACGCCTCACAGCAAGAAGGTCACTGGTTCGAGCCTAAGTTGGCGGTTCATTCTCCTGTGGCGACTTCTTATTGATAAAAGGGACTAAGCCAAAAAGAAAATGAATGAAGGAATTTTGTAATATAGTTGATCAATGCTTTTTAGGCTGTTCAGCAGCCTATGACTACATTTGTTTTTAAAAGGGAAATGCTTAGCTAATATGTAGCTTAGGTTTACATTAGACATACTTTATTCTTATTCTTTTTATTTATTTAATCATTAATTGTTCTGTCATTTATTTATTGTGTAAAACTATTGTTTAAATGCCAAAACTTTTTTGTCCAGAGAGAAATGGACTATTGTTTGTTTGTTTTTATTATTATTATTATTTTGTGCTGTATAATCTGGTTACTGAGCCACAATAAAAACACTTTAAAATATTTTACATGCTATTTTTTTTTCTAAACTAGTAGTGTTCTGAAATTAATGATTGCATTGTGAAACCGTGATTATTCTTCAGACTATAATTGTGTAACCAAAATCTATAATCGTTGCATCCCTATTCTTAAAAATAGCTAAAAGTACTTTAATTTTCAGACATGTGGATTTAAGGCCTAGAAAGTACTTAAAAACACAGGTCATAGAAGTGCTTGAATTAAAATTTAAATTAAACTAGTTTACTCAATTAATAAACATGACAAATGATGCTTATTTTAACAATATTTAAGTTACCACATTTGAGCAATCACCGGTATTGAATTCAACAAATTTTAATAAAGTTCTTTAAAAATAATTTTTTTACACTGTCAGATTATTGGAAAATTACTCATTTTAATGTATGTAAATATTAAGTATAGGTTAAATTTTCAGTAAAGTAGGGGCCTTCATGACCATACATATGCTCAGGGTCTAAATTACAAAGGTTCTTGATTTAAAATTAACTTAATTTAAAAAATCCTTGATTTTGGTGTCCATGAAAGTGTAGGAACTCTGGATTTACAAATTTGTGAAAACAACCAAAAATGGCATATTATGTATGCCAGGGCAGTATTTAGTCCTGTCACTTTGTTAGTAAACAGTGCTTGTATGGAAGTGATGATGTGCAGTCAGAAGCTCAGCGCTGATTTGTATGTATAATTTGCAGTGTGTGTGTGTGTGTGTAAGATGCGTCTGTGCTGTTGGATGTAATGTGAAGTAAAACCACACTTTGCCAATGTAGCTTTAGCGAACACTTGAGCAACAACAATACTGCCGTGTACTCCACCAGTATTATGTGTTTGTGCTTGTCTTTAATCTACACCTCTATAAACACATTTTATACCGAACACAATATCATCGTTTAAGGACTTATTTTTTGTGTTTACACGGACATGACCAAGGCAAACTTCCACTTTGAAGATGTATGTGGTTTCGGACACAAAAATGCAGTTGTGTGTAGGTGAACAGGCAAAAGGTTTTTTTGGCAGAAAACATTGTTGTGTAAACAGCCCCTTTGAATTAGAAGCCTTATCTGTTGTTTTTTTTTTTTTTCCAGGTTGTACATTTGGCTAGCGAGACTTTTCACTATAATGCAATTGACCGTGCCAAATCCCGTGGTAAGAAATATGCACTTGAGAAAGTCCCCAAAGTTGGACGACGGTTTCACAGAGTTGGCCTTCCTCCAAAGGTAACAAAACACTTTATACTGTTTAATGATATAAATATACGTCTTTCAATTCTACTCTAATGTTGTTCATCCTATTTTTTTCTGTCAAATTTGTATACAATTTTTTTTTTGTTTGAAAAGGCCCGTGCACACCGAGACGTTTTTTGCTCGCATTTTCCGTCGACGTTTAATGCCTCGTAACTTAATAAAGGGCTTTAATGCGATTGTGCATACCCACGCGCAAAACGGCAGGCGCAAAAGTGTCATTTTTTAAAAAAACGCCTCATGCTTGTTTTTTTGTTTTGACGCGCGGCATCAAAACCTTCTCCACCAATCAGATAGGCACTTTAGCTCACGTGCACAGAGCTGCTGAAGTTACCGTAAACAGCACTTGGAGGCGCTCAAGCGCAAAACTGTCAATGCGAGCGCACATTGAAGAAGATGCCCAGAGGCAATATGAACGTGTAGCTGCTTATTGCACTGGTAAACAATAATCATTTCTTTATCGCTGGAGCTGCTGCTTGAACTATCCATGCTTGTTCGAGTCACCAGTAACTTTATAAACAAACGTGTGAACTTCCTCTCCTCCCCTCTTCTGTGTTATAAGCGGGTGTCAGAAGTTTAATGTTGTGCAGCGCCATCTAACGTCAAAAGAGTGATTTAGCATAGTCTTCTGCTTGACGCCAGTGAAAAGCGCTTGGGTTTGAACACTGAAAAATGCTGATAAACGCAAACTAAAAACATCCTGGTGAGTAGGAGCCCTAATTCTGGCATTGCTCTTTCGACCCATATAACGAAAGCAGAACTTTCTTCTTTTAGACAAACTAAAATTTTTAAATGTTTGACTTTCATGCTGTATAACGGTGTTGTTCAAAAACTTTCAAATAGCTGTCTTAAAACTTTTCCATACCCTGCCAATTATGAATGAATAAAATATGCCAAAAAAACTTTTAATTTGAATTGTTTTAATTTTAACATTAACCATTTTAATTTAATAACACTGAATATTATATGCCATTAAAATTGTTTTCAATTTGAATTTATAAACTTCAACTTTAGATATTCAATATTTTTAATACACATTTTTTATAGATATATTTTCAAACTTCCGATTTGTTTTTCTGAATTGCTAGACTACAGATATCCAGTTTATAAAAATACAGTTTCTAGTTTTCAAGATGCAGGAATTTGGATCATCAATATTTATAAATTCAAAACCAGAAATTCAGATTGTGAAATTCAAGAGGGAATGCTTTGATCTCTTGCAGATTGACTTTATTTTAATTTGTGGCACTTCTAAAATGATTAATCTTCTAAATAATAAATTATTGCTGAGTATGCTCAGTCAGCAGCCACTGACTTAATTTAGCATGCATACCATTTTGTGACACTAAGCCAGGGATGGGCAAACTTGATCCTCGAGGGCCGGTGTCCCTGCAGAGTTTTAATCCAACACTAGTCAAACACACCTGAACAAGCTAATCAGTGTCTTTAAGATCACAAGAATCTATAAGCAGGTGTGTTTGATTAGAGTAGGAGCTAAACTGTGCAGGACACCGGCCCTCCAGGACCGAGTTTGCCCACCCCTGCACTAAGCCCTTACAAAAGCCATAAAGATAACACAAGTTGTCAAAGGTTTCATCCTCAATTTATTCCAAATTTTCTGAAGCCGTTCCATTGTTTAATGTCATTTAAAAATTACATTTTAAATAAAATTTCTAATCAGCCCATCTCTTCACTGTACCTTTCAATCATTCCCCATTAGCTCACCATTCAAACCCAGTGTCATATTTGGTTGTGACGAGGAACACGATGAAACTCTCCAGGATGATTCCGTCTTCCTGCTATTATTTGATCAATAGATAAATGCCTGTAAATTTGCATAAAAAGGACTTTATCTTGCGAGAGTTTATTGCTCTTGCTAAATGATTCTGCTGTCTGCTGGGTGTCTGTTAGTGTGTATTCGTAGAATGTACGGATCTAACTGAAATTACAGTGACTCCATGTGACTTCAAGCGCATCATTGAGTGCGTTAATACATCGATCTTGTTCTGCCCTATCTGTCATGTGCTGTCGCCTTATTTCAAATCTTCTCTCTACATTTAAAAGAGATTTTTTTTAAGTTATGTTAAGTGCTGTCCATTCCCTTGGCTTAAAGGAATAGTTCATCCAAATTTGAACATTCTGTGACCATTTACTCACTTTTCACTTCATACAAACTGGTTTGAGTTTCTTTCTTCTGAAGAAAGTTGGAAACCAGTAACCATTGACTTCCACAGTTTTTGTGTTTCCTTTTATTGAAGTCAGTGGTTAACAGCTTAAACCTGTCTTATATATTCTTTTAGTAAAAAAATAAAAGAAATGTGTAAATATTTGGAACCAATTTTTGGTGAGTAAATGAGTAAATCTTTTTTCATTTTTGGGTGAACTATTCATTTTTAAAAACTCATTCAGGTGTAAAAGATGCCTAACAATACTTAATGCTCAGTAAAAGGCTCTTAAACTAGTTTTATAATGAACTGATTAAATTGAACTATACGAGTATGGTCTTGCTACATCTTCATCATAGAAAATTTGTCATAATGTAATTTTTAACATTTGCACCATCGTGGCTTTTGTGATAAATAATTCACTGCACAGATTAAGACAAACAAAGGTGACTTAGGGCCTACTCGCACTATGCCATCCGTACCATGCCCAGGCCCGTTTCCCAGATCGTTTGAGAAGTGTAAGTGCGCTGAATCGGGCTCAAGCACGGTTTACTTGGCCGGCCCTGGCCTGGTTGGAAGAGGTGGGCCTGAGCACGGTTCACTTGGGCTTTGGCACGGTACGCTTTGTGTGAGTGCAAAACGCGCCAAAGCCCGAAACTGAAAGCAAGACGTGACTTTAAAGGGGCTGTTTCATATGGATTTGTTAATCATTCTTACTGTTCAATGAACACAAACTGCCATAGCTTATTAAAGATGCAAACTCCTCACAGCACGACAGCTGCGCACCTTCAGCAGACCTCATCATTCCTGCAGCACGAGAGCATTATGATTGTTTATGAGCGTCAAAAGTGGCGGATCTGTTCGGCGAAGTATCTGACTGCATGTCACCGCATCCCTAAGGACTGTTTGGCGAAATATTTGACTGCATGTCACTGCATATCAAACCGACTGAAACGATATAACTAGAGAAATTTCCACTGTGCTGAGCGAGAGCGCTTCTCACTGAACAGAGCGCAGCATCGATGACATAAGCGTGCCGAGGCCTGATTGTATGTGAGTGCGGGCCGTCGGGGGAGACGGGAGGGGGGACAAGCGTGCTTTGGCCCGGTTCGAGGCAACTGTACATAGTGTGAGTATGGCCTTAGCATGTTTGTAACCAATTGTTCTTGATATTAAACTTGCCTTGACATGTCATTGCCAGGCTTCTGCTGGTAGCAAATGTTCTTGTTACAATGAATTGCTGAAGTTTTATCATAATATGATGCATGATTACAACAATGACCTAAACTGCAAAAGCTAAGATTACTTGTGTTATCTTGAGTTGTGTTTTGCTTTTTTTTTTATATATACATGTTCAGAATAAACAAATGTTTTGATCAAAGTAAATTGCAAAAAGATAAGGTACAATAACTATTGTGAAGTGAACTTAGCTATCAACTTCATTTAATAAAACCATTACGACTTTTGAATTAAATGCATTATTAGTTAACTAAAGGCTGATTTATATTTCTGCGTAATACATTTGGTCTGGCAAATAAAAGTCTTCACACGGTCACATACTCCTCGCCGTGGCCATTGCAGATGCGCACCTCTCAAAAATGTAACTACATGTTGCAACGATGCGTTGCACAAGCTTTGTCATTTGTCGACTTGGTTGTGCTGACGAGTGTTGGCAGAGGTGAGAGCCGTGCGAGCCTGTTGGAGCGAGTGTTTACAAGTGTCGAGTCCGGTAAAAGAGCTCCAGATGGTAACATTTGTTTTGTGTTTACCTTATGATTAAAATTGTTGCACGTCCGTCGGTTCCCGCCTCAGAATAAGTAAGTTTTAGCTACTTGTACAGTTAGGTAACGTAAAAAAACAATTAAACCCCAGCGAAGAAACTCGACACAGAGGAACAAAAATCTCAGTGTCAACTAGAGCTGCACAATTAATCGAAAAAAGATCGCGGTCACGATTCGACCCCCTTGACGATCTTAATCCAGCATTGCTACGATTCTGCCAATCATATTTTCAAGTTCAGGAGAGAAGCAGAGGTGGCTACACGAGTCTTTTTTTTTATATAGCCGCACGCCAAGTATGAACAGCACTTAGCAGTGAAAATGAAACCGAAAGTGTGCACATCATTTAAATAATCATATCGCATTTTAGAGTTATGATTGCGACAAGCATTTAAAAAGTTCTTTTATAGCAAACGCACAGTTGAGCATGAAAATAATTGTTTACAGTGTCAGTATAACTACTCTAGCCTATATATTGTTGATTTTACCAGTGAATTAAATGGTCTAAAAATGTTGTCAATGACAAATTGCAAGTATATATCTCAAACATAATTCAACATCAGAATTATTATAAGTAGAATAGAATTATTTATAGAAACCAGTAGACCTACACATAATATTAATATTGTTTTTTACCATATGTTTGAGACAAAAACATAATCTCATAATAAGCTTAATTTTACATCTACAGAATCGTGAGAAAATCGTGATCTTTATTTTAAGTAAAAAAAATGTAGATTCTCAATTTAGCCAGAATTGTTCAGCTCTACTGTCGTCAAGTGTTTTGGAAGTGTTATTGCAGAGCAACACAAACAGTGAGCAAAAGTATAAATGCACGGCAACTCGCAAGGCATGAACCATGGCGATCACTTGACGCATTAACCTACAATACGACATTAACATGACCTAAGATTAATAAATGCTTTTTTTTTTTTTTTAGCCTTGCTGTACAGAGTTTGCAAACAAATTGGGTATAAATTATCTTCGTTTTCAAGCATTTTGTGCTGTGATGAACAACCAATAACAAAGTCTCTGATGTCCCTAGAGTGTGTATTTAAGTTTTCAGCTCAGTTCCAAGCAAATTAATTTGTTAAACTCGTTGAAACTGCCCCTATTACGCCCTATTTACACGGGGCGTCAGCTTCAATGCTTTCCATTCACTTTGAGTGGGTGACATCAGGCGTTGCCGAACTGCATTGTTGATTCGTCGGCACCACTTCAGTGGAGTTGCTCGCTGCAGAAGTTGGGACTTTCTCAACTTTTCAAGTGCCGACGAAAGCGTCAGCCTAGCAGATCGCTGTAAAAAACATGACCTATTCAACGTTTCCTTTCCCCGCTATATAAATCGTGATAGAACATGCACATCATTAATATTGTGGGCCTTTCACAATACTGTGAATGTTTATTTATTTAAAGGGGACCTGTTATGCAAAGATCCCTTTCAGTCAAAGCTATTAAAAGATTTTCAGCATAGTGCTGTCTTGTGTGTAGGTGGGCTCATTTCAGCTGTTTGTGGAGGGCTATCATGAAGCTGACTTCTGGCTGAGGAAGTTTGAAGCAGAGCCTCTTCCAGAGAACATGAGGAAACAGCTGCAGTCTCAGTTTGAGAGGCTGGTTGTGTTGGATTACGTTATTAGAAACACAGGTAACCATGACATTCAAGTTTATTTTCATTTCATATGAAATATAATACATTTGCTTTAAGCATCAGCCTTGGTTCTCGAATTAAATCTGAACTCGTGCATGGTAACCATAGTTTCCACTTAATCTTATTTGCAGAGTTGTTTTTTTTTACTAAAATAGACCTATGCTGAGTGATTAACTGTTTTCCCAAGATAACATTGTTTTTTTGCTCTCTTGTTGTGCTGTATCTGGTGGATTTTTCATTATCTTTTTTCATTTCCTAATTTTTCTGCTTCATGCACCATACAAATGTGCTACGGCTTTGAATATGTGTTATGACCATATAAAAGAGATGCTAATTGTTGTCTGTGCCTTTGAAAATGAAATCTGATATTTCTTTTGGCTTCTTCAGACAGAGGGAATGATAACTGGTTGATCAAGTATGAGAAGCCGGGCGATGGAGAGCTGACAGAGAAGGTGAGCTGAGGGATATTTTTAGAGCTCTTCTGTTTGCAGTGCTGGACAGAAGAAAATGCCAGGACAGAGTCATGTGCCTGCTGTTATGGAAGCTGGCCTGGAAAATGCAAGGGTTGTGTCTCTCTCTCTCTCTCTCTCTCTCTCTCTCTCTCTCTCTCTCTCTCTCTCTCTCTCTCTCTCTCTCTCTCTCTCTCTCTCTCTCTCTCTCTCTCTCTCTCTCTCTCCTTCTCTCTCTCTCTCTCTCTCTCTCTCTCTCTCTCTCTCTCTCTCTCTCTGTGTGTGCGCGTGTGTGGTAGTTTTTTTAGTGGTAGTTTTATTTTAATTAACTAATTTATTCGTTTATTCTTTATTTTATGTTTTATTTTAAATTAATTAATGTATTCATTATATTTTTTATTTTATTTAAAATTTATAATTGTATTAATTATATTTTATAATTTTATTTTAAATTAATGTATTTGTTCTTTATTTTTTATTTTATTATGTTTTATTTTAATTAATTAATTTATTAATTCATTTAGTATTTAATTTCATTATATTTTAAATGAATTACTTGTTTATTTTATTTATTTTTTGTATTTTATTTCCAATTTAAATTAAATAATTTATCCATTCATTCTTTTGTTTTTATTATATTGTATTTTATTTTAATTCATTTCGTTATTAATCCATTTTTGTATTATATTTTAATTAATTTATTATTTTTTGTATTTTATTTTAATTTTTTTTTTTTGCTTTTATTTTAATTAATGTATTCATTTATTTTTTACTATTTTATTTTAAATTAAATATTTTTTTTAATTTATTCTTTGTTTTATTATTCTATTTTAATTAATTTATTAATTTATTATTTTTAATATTTACTTTAATTCTGTTTTAAATTAATTAATACATTTTTTTGATTGTATTCATTTTTGTTTTTTATTTTAATTTCAATAAAATATATTTATTCATTCATTCTTTATTTTATTTTTATTTTAATTAATTTAATAATTATTCATTTTATTTTGTATTTTAATTTAAATTAATTAATTTATTTATTCATTCTTGTTTTTATTATGTTATATTTCAGTTAATTTATAATTTTGTTATAGTTATTTTTTTGTATTTTATTTTTTCATTTAATATTTCCTTTTTTGTATTTAATTTAATTTTAAATTAATTCATTTAATTTGTATTAATTAATTTGTCTAATAAATAATTTTATTTAAAATTAATTAATTTATTCATCCATTATTTTGTTATTTGTTTTTTAATTAATTTATTTATTAATAATTATTGTTTTGTGTTTTATTTTTTATTTTATTTATTTAACCATGAGAACTCATATGATATGCATGTTGTGTGGTAGTTCTTGTATTTATTTCTATTTTAAGTTGCTGCTGGGGTTACATTATGGATTTAATATTAACTGTTCGTCCCACACAACTGGTGAGTTTCTCCTCTGTGTTTCTCTGCAGGAATCTGAGTGGACTGATCCAAAAGACTCGGCCATAAAAATTGCAGCTATAGATAATGGTTTGGCCTTCCCCTTTAAACATCCTGATGAGTGGAGAGCATGTATGTATATTTTTCTTATGTTATTATATATGCATAACATTATATTTATGTTTTTTTCAGAGGTTTAGCTTGGTCATTTTGCAGGACTTCTGTTATTCTGTTATATGTCACATGATTCTTTGAGGAGAACATTTCAATGTGATGATTTGGTGTTCAAAATATTTCTTAATAAGTTTCAAAAAGGTTGTGATCCTTAATATTTTATGGAAACCTAGAAAATTATTTGATTAAATGATAAATATGACACAAAAACCTAAACAATGTCAATAGGGCTGGGTAATATTGCAAAAAAAAAATCATGATATCATGTTTCATATCATTCGATGTTGATAATTTTTTGAATATTCTTTAACAATCCATTTAGGTATTTTCCATTTTTTTTAACCAATTTATTTTAATTAAAAATTACTAAGGCAAATAGATTTAAAAGTCAAAAAAATATTTAAACAAAATATCTTATCTCTTTATAATAAACATAAGTGTTAAAAAGGCTCTTAAACTTGATAAATAAAATGTTAGAAAGTGTTTACAATAGTAAAATGCAAATGCTGAGCAATCAAAGCAAACTTCAGGGTAGATCAACATCTTTAATGCTGTCAATAATTATGATACAGTAAACCTCAAACAAAGTAAGCAAAACAAATTATGATAATCAAATCTGAGCTTTCAAGTAAAGGAACCAGCCATCATTATTCAAATACATACAGTAACATTACAAATTGTGAAGTTGAATGACTACACTACCCCCTATGCTAAAAAAATCTTTCAGATGGGGAGCTAGTGGTTGGGATGCACGAGAAAAGAAACCAAAAAGCCACTATTTACAATCTCCTTACTGCTGCTAGCCACAGTGAGCGTGTGTTTTCCTTCACCATTTTCTATCCGCTTTGTGCTCACACTGCCCTGGGGTATTTCTGTAACTAGGCGACCATCAACCGTGGTCTTAGAGGATGACAAACAGACATACCATTGCAGCAGCTCTGATGCAAGTTTATGGAGCAAAGTAAAAACCACTGTAGTGTTTGGATGCGCTGTGTTTGTCTGAGGTAATTAGTCTACCGTTATCGTGGTGTGCTCACGGCATCCGGAAAAGTTCAGATGTTTGTTAACTAGGTGTACATGGAAAATCGCTCCCATATGCGCATTGTACAAGTCGCGTGCCTTCATTGCACATGACAAATTGCACCCAAAGCTTATTGGCGTTCCTTCCAAGGCGCACAGTCAGCAGCCACATTTTAATACAACTATAGGTTACATATGAAAACTTCACACCAAAGTTTTTTATTTTATTTTATTTTTTTAATTGATATTGACTGTGGTGTTCAGTCAATAAATACCGATACTGATTTTATTGCCCAGGCCTAAGTGTCAAAACCCCTCACTAAATCAGTGATTTACTGAATCAATCAAACAATTAGATTGATTAGTTAAGTTAATCAGTTTGTTCATCCAGGACTAATAAATACTGTATTAATGTTTTTTATTTGTTATTTTTGCTTAATTTTTTACAACTAAGCAAATTTATTATTATTATTATTATTATTATTATTATTATTATTATTATTATTATTATTATTATTATTATTTAATAATAATAATAGTAATAATAATAATATGTATTATTATAATTATATTATAATAATAATGTTGTTAACATCATCATAACCATCAATATTATTATCAATTAAATTTTTTAAATGTACATTATTATTGTTATTATTATTATTATTATTATTATTTAATAATAATAATAATAATAATAATATGCTTTATTATAAGTATATTTTTTGTAATAATAATGTTGTTGTTGACATCATCATCATCATCATCATCATCATAACCATCAATAGTTTTATCAATTAAATTTTTTAAATGTACATTTATTATTATTATTATTATTATTATTATTATTATTATTTAATAATAATAATAGTAATAATAATAATATGTATTATTATAATTATATTTTTATAATAATAATGTTGTTAACATCATCATAACCATCAATATTATTATCAATTAAATTTTTTAAATGTACATTATTATTATTATTGTTATTATTATTATTATTATTATCATTATTATTATTTAATAATAATAATAATAATAATAATAATAATAATAATATGCTTTATTATA